GGACCAACACCCCTCCCCCACTACCCATCTGCTATTACTGCCTGCGAGCTTGACCTCCGACCGTCAATTGTCACCAATTCAACAAGCAGAACAACACCTCAAAATACAACAACACGACAGAAAGGCGACGATATAGCCTTCCCGCGAATACAATAAACTCTCAGAGTACACACCGAGCAGTCTGAACTTTTCAAAATGTTGATCAAGTGAGTGCCCGCGCTTCGACTTCGCGCGCGCATGCCTGCTCGCCCCGTTACCGCACATGAGCTGACGCTTCAACCTCCAGGGTGCGCACGCTGACCGGCAAGGAGATCGAGCTCGACATCGAGAACGAGTACAAGGTTCGCAGCGCTTCAGACGGATGACGACGACCACAAGACTGACACTCGGACGCAGGTCTCGCAGATCAAGGAAAAGGTCGAGGAGAAGGAGGGCATCCCGCCCGTCCAACAAAGACTCATCTACGGTGGAAAGCAGATGTAAGCAGTATTCCAGGTAGTTGCCATGGTCGAGAGCATTGAAAATTCTGGGCTTAGTTGCATGACTGACAGTTGGTGCGATCAAATAACAGGGTCGATGATAAGTCAGCTTCGGAGTATGGCCTCGAGGCCGGCGCCACCCTCCATCTCGTGCTGGCTCTCCGAGGTGGCAAGGCTTCCGACATGTGCTGAAGATTTTCGTCAAGACAGAGCCTCGCGCCAACTTTCGTCTTCTTACCCATCGGCGGTGAGTTGGTTAGAGCACGATGCAAACGAGCCGACGACGGAGTAACCTGAAGACTCGCACCCTCGATACATTACAGCCGAAAACGTCTGTCTGTCTGACTGTGGTCGGCGAGACCATTATTTGCTGGACAGCAACTAGTCTCCTAGAGGAGAGCACACACTGCAAGCATCATTTTGCCGTGGATTCCAGTTGCGCATCATGTATACCGACAGGGAATAGGTAGTAATCATCAGAAGTCTTGTCGCAGTTGCCATCATGCTAGTATAGTGCGAGTCTGTCTTGTCCGAGCTAGAGTCTTCAGCTAGTGGTGGCCAAGGGACCTTTCGAACCAAGAGGGTATATAACACATCCTGCCAACGCCAAACAAATCCTGGTGCGATGTCCCTTGCCAATGGGCCAACGCCTTGCCAATACAAATATCTCTACAATGTTGTCCTTGCTTTCCCGTCCTTCAAGCTTAGCGTCTCGTCTTCTTCTTGGGCATGAATATGTCAACTGCTTTCCTCTTCTTCGGCAGCTCTTGATTACCGATGAGTGGCCGAACCGGTTGCAACTCGTCCAGGGATACCGGGAGGGGTGGAGGTGACTGGGGCCCGCTGTGCTGAGCAGCAGTCTTGTGCGCCCGATGCGGTTCCATGGTCGTAGGACCGGCTGTTTCCAGCTTTGGCTTCGGCCGCTCAATCCTGATATTGTTACTGTTCGGTTTAGGTGCATTTCCCATGATACCCCCACCGCGCTTCAGCCCTGCGGTGTGGGACATAACGGCGGATGACGAGGATCTGAGTGCACTGTAATCTCTTGAGGATGCCTTCGATGGCGTGCCCGGCTGCGCAGATAGTGCTCCCCTGTCGCGGCCGTTGTTTGCCGGGGACCCTGAGCCAGATGAGGTGGCCTTTCGCTGCTTTCTGCCAGATCCTTCATCGCCAAAAAGGTCACCCTCGTCGTCTTCATCCGAGGAGTCGGAAACATATGTGGTTTTTGAGGCCATAGGCGGTCGGGAACTGGTGGATGTAGGCCGGAAAATGGGCTGCGATGCGATGCGATGCTCGCTTGCCATGGACGCCGGTGCTTTATTGACTCGAGGTGCTCGGATCATGCCGGTGGGAACAGCAAGCCTGCTTCTTATGCCGGCGATCTCTGCTGCCTCTCTTCTGGCCTTCTTCATGACGCTGGCGCCGTTCGTGGTCTTCAATCGGCTGCCAGCGGCAAAACTCAGGGAGCTTGGGAGCTCCTTGCCTCCTCGTCCTCGGGTCCCAAAGGTGCGACCGGTCTTGGGAGGCTTCGGGAGGTATCTCTGATCGACAATGCGGCTAGTATTGTTGTCTCTCTTTTGCTGGAGACCTTGAAATCTTGCGCGCAGCTCAGCCTCGGCCTGTTGCTGTGACTCTCGACGTTCCTCGGCATATCGTTCGTAAATCTTGTACCACTTGGTCGGATTCTTAGGCGCGTAGTTTTTTTCGTGGCTCTCAGACGGGAACTCTCTTCTGATGAAGCGTTGCCATAATTCGGATGTTTCTCCTTGGATGTGTGGGGAGTTTAGTTCGATTTCGCGGAGCTGAGCGGGATTGGTGACTCGGAGGAGGATGTCGCGGACGTGATGGTATTGGAGTGCATCGCTGTTTCCAACACTGCTGAGCTCGGTGATGTGTCTTTGGCATACTGCAATGCACAGCTCCGCAAGTGACTTGGGCCCTGGCATGATTTCTTCTTCTTCTTCTTCTTCTTCTTCTTCTTCTTCTTCTTCTTCTTCTTCTTCTTCTTCTTCTTCTTCTTCTTCTTCTTAGCCGGACTGTAGAGCCGTCGTGGTGAAGTGTGCAATAGATGATGAACAAACAGGCAGAAGTCTCATTGTTGACATTCGAATCGTGAATCAGATCAATACAGCGAGTTTCCAAGCCAGGCGAGATGCCTCTCGAGGCGCCCTGCAACAATGGAAGGAGGGCTGATGTAATGTTCAGCGTCGGGTATTCGCAGACCGGACTTTTATTGTTGCAGCTGGTGACCTTCCTTCCAGGTTGAAATGGATGGGCCCGGCCACATAAGACGCTGGCAGCAGTGGCGAACCCTGGCTGATTGCAGTGTGCGCGCGGTTGATGGTGGGGTCCATGGGCTTTTTAAGTGGTCGGGTCCGCTGCGGCTGGCCTCCAGGTCACCTACCCATACCTAGGTACGTAGGGGCTTTAGGTACGTAATTGTGCCAGTGGACGATACGTAAGCCCAAGTGCCGACGCGATCGAAAGTCCTTTGACCGCAACCTCACCATCACAGGCAGCAAAATCCCAACGTACCAAAAGGAACGCAAGCAGGAAGAAAAAACGAAAAAAAAAAACAGGACTCACTGTTAAAAAGACGGCGAGGCAGTCATTCACATTCGAGCACCTTCCCATATCATTCCCCGCGTCACATGATCCAGAGGCTAATCCCCTTTCGGACCCCAGCAGGTGCCACACGCGCCCGCGCCTGTGTACGGGCAGCTGTTCAAGGTACGGTGGTGCAGAGCACCTTGGCACACTTATTAGGTAGCAGGAGCTAGGGGTGCCTAGATTCGCTTCAATAGCCTTTCGTCATTCGCAAATCCGCTGCACCTGCCACGACTTGAACAATTCCAGGGGCTGCGGTACAACTCACCATGGCGGATTCAACATACATCAAGCAAGAACCATACATCAAGCCCGACCCCGACGCTGTTTCGGCCTCTCCTCTCGATGAGGACGATTTGTACGAAGATGCCGGCGATCTCGAGTTCTTCGACCCCAACAGCGAGCAGGGTGCCTTTGGCCAAGCATACTTAGCCCGCGTCCCAAAAGACCTCTGGGATGCCTGGGACAGTCTACCAGACGATGCTGAGATTGAGATCGGAACAATGCGACAGTGGGATGTGGTTCGGCCCGATGGCGCTGTCGAGGTATGTGAATGGCGCGTTGCGGTGCACTCTGTAGCCAAACCTGACGTGTCTGCCCTTTACAGCACCGGTTCAAGATGCTTCTCAACTCGAACCGACCTGAACATCAACTCATGCCGAAGGAGTACGATCTCGAAATGGGCAAGGAACTTACGCGCAGCACTTTCGTGTTTTCCGAGGAGGATCTGCCTGGCTTCAAGGCCAAGTCCAAGGCACGCAACGACGCCGCCAACGCAGGCATACCGGCACGATTCCTGCGCCCAAAGAACGAAAAGGTGGAAAAGAAGCCGTTCGAGAAGCGTGGCCGGTGGCAACCGTATTACCGCAAGGCGATCCCAAGTCCGTATAATCCCCAGACAGCGACTTGCGCGTCCTAACATGGCCCAGAAAAAACAAAAATCGCCGCCAGGATCCAGTATGAATTAGCATGCAAGCCGGTAGATAACGCCGAAAGTCAGGCAATCTTGCAGCGGAAGCAGTTGGAAGCGTTGAAGCCCAAACACACTCTCCAAATCATGGGGCAACGGGCGGCAAACAACGTCATTCAACACGGTTCTGCCGCTGCTGTCGAGAAGTTCGGCTCCTTCATTGTAAGTCACCGCTCTACATGGTTACGACTCCCTTTCCTTACGGCTGACACCCTCTAGAAAACGACTGCTCCTATGAAGGCCACAAAGCCGAAGAAGGCAGAAAACCGTTCGGCTCGTATGTCTGAGGAGCAGCTTTTGGACGGTCTCATGGAGGCTTTCAGAAAATACGAGTACTGGAAGATGTCTATTCTGAAGGCAAGATTTGACCAGCCCGAAGCCTTCTTGCGACAAACTTTGGAGAAGATCGCGGTTCTCAATCGGTCTGGCATACACGCCAATGAGTGGTCGCTGCAAGAGCATATGAAGAGCATGGCTTCCGGTGCAACTAACGAAACAGCTCCAGAGGAGGCAGCAGCCGATGACGATGACGATGAGATGGTCATGGAGGATGTTGTGCCTGGTGCTTGACCGCGGCTCATCACATTGCTTTCATACATTGCACGGCGTTTGGGGTTTGTCAAGATGATCATCCGGCGAGGATTTTGTCACCGGGACTTTGATACCCGTCTGGACACTAGATCTTGGTGGACGTGTCGCAGGGTTTGCATCGCTATTTTTGGACTCGGGCTAGGAGAAACCGGGGAATGGCATCGACGCATCGTATTTTCCCAAGGGACAGTCCACTCATTCAGACCTGTGCTTGAAGCCTAATTTTTGTTGCTGCGGCGCCAATCTTGCGTGACCTCTTTTGTTGCCATGGCTCCGGATAGCCAGTCTCCAAGTGGGGAAAGGTGTCTCGTCAGCCCGCGAACTGTCCTCGCCTCTACAAACCTGCACCAAGCATGCTTCACCTGAGGGTTCACCTGAACCGCGTAAACATTCAACGAACATTGAACGTCTCCATACGTCGCGTTTCGACGCTGTCAGCTCGACTCATGTTTCACCGACAAGTCAACTTAGTGTTGGACTTTGACGGAACCATCACTACCAAGGACACGATCGGGACCATCGCTGAGGTCGGTCTTCACTTCCAGCGACAGCGCGGCTTGGATCTGTCGGCAGCATGGCGGCAGATTCTTGAGGACTACAACCAAGATCACGTCGACCACGTTTCGGCCTACAAACCTGCGGCAGACGGTCGGCTTACCCTCTCGGAAGAGCTCAGCTACCTGCGTGGTCTCAGAGAAGTCGAGCTACGCTCAGTGCACCGCGTTGAACGGTCCGGCATTTTCAAGAACATCAGCAGGGGGGAACTCATGAAATCCGGAGATGCTGCTCGTCAGGAAGGGCGGGTAAAGCTTCGGGACGGTTTCGCGAAGCTAATGGACACTGCCAAGCAGAACCATTGGCCTGTCTCGGTGGTCTCGATCAACTGGTCGAGATCCTTCATCAAGGGCGTGCTGTCTGCGTATGAATTTGACGTGGTCGCCAACGATATTGAAATAGACGGTTCGATCTCCGGTCCGGAAGTCCTCGGTCCATCGGGGCGGGAAACTATCTTGACGACCTGTGATGACAAGCTGCGGGCTTTGCGGGCGCTGGCAGCTCGTCAGGGAGTTGACAATGCCAAGGGGCTCGTTTATTTTGGCGACTCGACATCTGATCTGGAATGCCTATTGGAGACGCGCGGGGTTGTGGTGACTTCGACGCCAGACTCTGGTTTGATGACGACTCTAACGAGGCTGGGATACGACGTTCCCCGGGTTCAGGATTGTCGCGAGGTGGACAAGATCGTTTGGACTTCGGCATTCCATGACGTATTGCAAAGTGGGTTCCTCTCAGCAAGTTGAAAGGCTGAATGATGTCTGTCTTTCGTGGTTGTCGAGCAGAGCTGTAATCTATGACAACATTGCGTCGACACAGGGTCCTATGGGTCCTTTGTCCGGATTGTCGAGACAAACATCTGATTATTTTTCTCCAGGATACGACATTGTTCAATATCATCTCCTTGTCATCGAAGACCACCTAGAAAATACTCCTTTGTTCTTGAATTTCATGCTGTTTGGGACCGCCGCTGTGCATATAAGTACAGTGCTACATCCACCTCTCAACTCTAGGTCCCATCCGCCATACACATGCAAAAGCACCTACTTACACCCCGACAAACACTAGCATATCGTACAGTTCCGAGGAGTTAGGGAAACAGCCATCATGTGCTACTATCGACTGGCTATATACGAATGTAAGCATACGATATATGGGCGAAAGATGGCTTATTGCGAAGTCCAACAAGACTTCTTGTCTGGCAAGCGTGGTCTAGAGTGCACTACAAAGAACGCCCATTCACTTCAGACTCTGCGGCTGGACTCCGACTGCGAAAAATGTCGAAAGCTGGATGAACTTCAATTGCGTACAAAACAGGCTCTCAAGGAGCTTCGGGAGGGGCGTGAGGGCTCCCGAGACACTGCTGGTTCTTCGATGCAAGACTCCTTGATCGATTCTTCGGATGATGTTACTTCCGACCTTGGTTCTTCAGGAGCCCCTACTTCTGATGATACGGCCGATAATTCACATGATGTCTAAGTACCTATAGATATGTTAACGGTATGAACCTTGCTTTGTCTGCGGACATAGAGCACGTTGCTAGCACATGCGTATCCGGTATGAACTTGGAAATCAAATAGTCAATATTCTTGTAGTACTTTCCCAAGCCGTAGCGTTATTTTATCAACTAATGTAACGAGAACAAGTAGAAGAAGAGAACTCACGAGTTCTATACCACATCGGCCCTCCCGCCTCTAGTTTCTTTTGCTCAAAGCCCCAGGCTCTTTAATAGAGACGTTATTCTGTCTGACCACATCCGGGAAGACATTTCTTAGATCGGCTCCTGCATTGGGAAACACCTGAATTCCTCGACCCCCCTTAGATTATCCCAAAACCTCATCCAATCCAACGTGCTGCCGTTTCTTTTGTCCGCTTCACTTTTGTCTGCGCCGCTCTCGGTCGCACTAGACCCATGAATCAGGAAGCTGATCTGGCGGCCCAGAACTCCTCTTTTCAAAGTGACCCTAGGAAGTGGTGCCTAAATCCAATTTCGAAACGCGATTGTCTCCTCAACGATGGAAGAGAAGTTGACATAGTGCACGTTGCTGCAAGCCAGCCTTAAGGTCGATATGGTCTCGATAGCCATTAGGCGTTGCGACATAACAGCAGTCTTCTTGGCTGACTCATCTGCTTCCTCCATGCTGTGCGCCCGTGGTGATGGCCAGTACATGAATTGGACAGCGGGCCCGGGGACTGTTGCGGTAAGATCTGGGCCAAGTCCGAAGGCTCAGGCGAGGCCGGGCACGGGGTGTCGGCCGTATCGGAGCCGTTGGTGCCGAACGAGTGCCGGATCCCAGTCGTCACAAGTGAGGTCAAGGCGGCGAGGAAACGATGTATCCGACGGGTAAGAAGACAGACAGATGAGACAAGTCAGGCACGGGCAGGTCAGGTGTCAGGTTGCTTCAGACGGCATGCGAAGTCGCAATGTGGCTGTCTCGGTCGAGGCGACAATGGTACTTCGTACAGAGGACTGGCCATGGCATGGGTAGATGTGAGGTGGCATTGAAGGACGTTGGCAACATGACAGGAACGGAGGCAGCTGAAACCCGAAGCCACGCCGTCGTGACTGGGGCGATTACCGCAGACACGGATGGTTGCGAAGAGGTCTGCGAGGGACTCGGAAAACGGGTTTTGGAGGAGAGGTTGGAATGCGTCTGAAAAACGGCCAGCCATGAGCTGACCGCAAACGGGCATTGGGGATCGAGTGCAATTCAACGGCTCGCATTGCTAGGGTGACGATGAAGTCCTGGGTCCAGGGACGGAGCAGCCGAAAGTGGGAGCTGTGGGGAGAGACGAGAGTCACTGGACTTTGCAATAACATGTCCCAAAATGCAAAATCACCGGATGGATATCGTTTAAGTAGTGTATTGGTATGCAGATAAGATGCGGCACGGATGACGGAGGAAAGACGCAAGGGCCGAGGAGACGGTGCGTTTCTTGGGCTGATGTGCTTCCAGGCCAGGTCAATGAAGCAGTTCGCGCAGCAGGAGGAGGGACTGAGGTTAAACTACGAGGAACGGTTCGTGTGAGCGTGGAACCGGCCCAGTCCCAGCCAAGGAGGAAGGGGTACATTGTATTAGGTGGACGCTGAACGCGGGTCGTCGTGGCCGGACTCAACCTCCTGAGATGAGTTGTTGATACGACGACGAGGCCGAGCACGTTTCCAGGCATGAATGGCAATCAACACACAAAAGTTTGCATAAAGACGGCGACCTTCCATTGCAGGACGAAGCCCGTATTCAGTGGGTACACGGTGTATGCGGCGAATGTCAGCAGGTGGTTTCCATTGTGAATCAAAATCAATGCACCTAGGTAGTCTATGGAGTCCAGTCGGGTCCCTAGAAAATTGTCACTCAGGGTCCCGTCCCTGGACCCATCAGCCGAGCCATGACCTACCTTACCTTACCTACCTTACCTATCAAATCCCGGTGCAGTCTCGCGGTGCCTTACTTTAACTTACCTTACCGCACCTTCACCTTAAGGTAGGTACCCTACGTACCTTACCTAGGTCCATAGGCAGGTACTTAAAGTACCCAAGGCCCAGTACCAGTAGAATGCATCCGACCCGACTCCCGGCTGCACTGCAGCGTGAATGCACCGCTGGGCCTCCCGGGGGTTCTTACCTTAGCGTTATGCTCCCCGCCTGACCCAACCATGCCTGAAAGCCAGAGAGCCCCCCCCCCCCCCCTCCCCAGGAGGAGCCAAGACTCTGTGTGGCTTACCTACCTATTGTTTCCCTCCAGTCCAATCTCCTTCATCTTCATGACATTTGAATCGCTGGGTTGCGGGGGGAAATTGGCCGTGCTTCACATCGGCTGACTGCAATGCAAAAAAAACAACCGATGTCGGATAGATTGCTCTCTATACCACAACAGCACAACGTGTGCAAATGGAATGGGGCGCCGCTTACGGCCCCGGCCTGGCGATGAGGAGGAGGAGAGCAAACACTGAAGCAAAAGAACAAAGGAGGGAGGACGAGATCCTTCGCCTTCGCCTTGGGCTTGGGCCATTGGGTTCCTCGCCGCTTGCCGCGGGCCAAAGCGGTAACGCCGACCGGGTTGTATTGCGTGTGCATGTACTGTAGCCATGGAGTATTCCTCATCATCTACCTTTCTGTTCTGATGTAGGTTGTTTACTGTTTAGGTCTCGGGAACGCAAGGCAAGGTACTCGCAGCTTCTCGAGTCCTCTCGAGTTGCGACCCCCGGCCAAGACAAAGGAACCTACCTGTTGCCCAATCCAATAACCTGCCTCATGCGTGCATCACTCTGGTAAAAGGCAACGGAGGGCGACGTGAGGGCAAGCCAAGGTACTGGTACTCCGTACACCGACCGACCGACCGACCGACCGACTCGAACCCTTCCCCTCCCTCTTTCCCCCCTTTCTTCACCGTCTCTGATATGCGCCGCAAGTGCCTTATTACCAAAGCTCCAGGTCCTGTCCCTTCCCCATTTGGGACCTTCCAGCGCCGTAGGCTATGTGTACCTCAGCCATACATGCTTACCTACCTTAGTACGCAGGCTACATCCTCCTGCCAGCGTCCGCCTTCCTCCTACACCCACACCCCCAAACCCCCGTACTCTATCCGCCTGCAGTCTCCCCTTCTTGTTATGTATTCCTCTGGACCCTCCCGTCAGCTGGTCGGGTCTCTTTCATTTACATCACGGAATGTGTGACTTGGTTGATACCGCCCTTTGCCTTCCCGTCCGCTTCATATTGCCGCCCGATTCCGCTTCCGTACACTTATTTGCCTTGCTCCCTTCTCTCCCCTCAGCCGACCTCCTCGCCAAACGACCCCTTCACCAACCCTTCTCCCTCGACGACTACGACGACCTGCTTCCCTCGAGATTCCGTCACAGCACCGACTTCAGATCCTGTGCCCTCGCTCGCCGCTTCACTCGAACCAACGTGGCCGCCTAGTTTGACAATTGCTGTCTTCTTTCAATACTAGTCTTGTCGCCCGTCTTGCCTGTCTCGCCCGACTGTCAGACGCCGTCCTTCTCTCCTCCCTCGCCGCTGTTCGAGGGAACGAATCGTCTCACACGCACGCATCTGGCACGCATCAGATACGATCTCACCTCCCCGAGCGTTTCGAAGGGTATCTGCTGCTAATGTCGCCATTCCCCGCCTGACATCTCGGGCCCTCCGACGTTCGTCATGGAACCCGTTCCTGAGACCGAGAGAATGGAGGAGTTTCGACCCTCGCCTCTTCCCTCTCTCCGGATCCAGAATCCCGCTCTGCTGCCTGCCGTTACTGCCGAGACCGAACCTCTGAGGAAACCGCCCACTTTGCGACGCCAGACCGATCCGAGTCCCACCTCCCCGACCGCTCCGGCATGGTCTCTGCCTCCTTTGCCTTACCGTCCCCGTACCACCTCGCCCCTCTCCGGACACCACAGATCGAGGTCAGCTGCGGCGAATTTGGCTCCTCCAATGTCTCGTACACAGTCCATGCCAGGCGTCAACGGTGCTGGCCACATCCTCTTCTCCCCTCAACTTCGTCCTGCGAGTCCCTCGGGTTCGCCCAGCCGCATTCGAATCCCACGGAAACCTGTTGACGAGTCCTTTCCCACATCGCCAATTCGCAGCTCTGTCTTAGAACCAGACCGCAGAAATGCTGACTCAAATTCCTCCCCAATCGCTGGTAACACGGCATCTTCTGCAGTGCTGCCTCGTCACCGTCGGCCGTCTTCGCCCTTGAGGAACCCGGGACATGCCAGCACCGGCTCGTTGCCCGCGCTGCCTACCACCCCCACGTCCATTGCGTCTTCACCTTCGTTCAGAGGCTACGAGGCCTTTTCGCACGGCTACGGCATCCCGTCATTCCCTTCTTCGTCGGTGCCGTCGACTCCTACATCGACAAGGTCGAGGAGCCCCAGCATCTCTAGCCTCGAAACGATACCCGACTCTCCTGATGCGGAGGAAGCGGCTATGGAGGCCGAAAGAATCGCTCAACTCAAAGCGGCCGCTGATGCCGCGGAGAGGGGCAGTGTAACAGAAGGCAAGGGAAGGGGTGGTCTTGACGTGCCATCTCGAGGCAGAACACTCGGCTTCGGGTCAAGAGACAAGAGAAAGCGGTGGAGTGTCTGTGGTGCCGAACGACGGCAGGACCTAGACTTGGAAACAATCTGGGAGGATTAAGAGGCAGCTCGGCTCAAGGCTCTCTTTCGGCTGTGAACGATGAATCGCCTCCGGTAAGGACCGGTGGGATAAGACTGCAAAACTCCGGGCAACGCGAAATCCGACACAGTCGTAAAAGCATTTGAGACTTTTCTTTGCGTTGCTTTTTTTGCATGGCATTTGGCATTCGGTATTAGGTTTAGGGGCACGATGGCGTTCAGTGAAATGCTTCTGATACCCTACACTGCATTTCACCTCTCAAGGGCATTACGGAGACATTGTCATCATATATGGGTCCTGTACTTAAACATGGCTGGGTTCTCTTTCCCTGCACTTTGGGTCTTCAACCTCCACAAGGAGTGCTGCCGTAGGCAGAGTGCTTGTCAATGGAATATTTCCCATTCACTCCAATCCCGCTCCAGTTGATTCTCTTCCAAGCCTTCATCATGTTCTAGCATACTGATTGCAACGGTGTCTCAGTTGTTATTCTGTGCCGCTGCAAGGGGTGATTTACACGGTAGTCCCCCTTGCTGAAGACTATTCTTTTCCCTTGGGTCATTTTCAATAGCGGAGGTCTATAGTTTTCCCTCTGTTCTTCATGCCTCCACAGTTCGGCCGCGAAGGAATTCTTATCAAGTTTCTTGGGGAACCATTGGACTCCCTCCAAGTCTGAGCGACGAGGCCGCAATGTATAAGACGGGTTGGCTTGGGCCACGGCTGTCGTTCTTGATCTTGTCGACATCAACATACTAAAAGGAGCCGTCAATCTTCGTTGAACAACCCAATATTTGATCCGCATCATCGGCTCTCTGCTGCCTCTCGTCGGCAAATATACCTCAACATGTATCGTTTCTTTTTGCTTGGCGCTCTCTTCGCCGAGACAGCTAAGGCGGTCCCGAAGGCACCGGAGGACGAAGTAAGACCCAATGACTTCAGATCCTTCTTATTCCTTCGGAGAAGACTTCGCTAATCATACCTGCCAGATGGCCGCCCATATCGTACAACAACGATGGTTTCGTCCAAGTCCGGACTCGGCCGCCTGGACCACCGGACGGAGCTGGTCGTTGAACGGTACCCATTCAACGACACCGACTGGAGTAGCCGGGACGGCCAGCAGTACCTTTTCATTTTCGCTCAATGCGACGAGTACCTCTATGAGTTCAGCGTGCCCCTTGAGCATCATCACATCGACAACGACGGTAGACGTGACTTTCTACATAACTGCCACCACTTCGTTCGGCAGTAATCTGACATCGTCTTCCGGTACCGGCACGGCGCATCCGTCATGGACTTCGTCCTCGACGAACTCTAGTTCTACGACGTCCTGTGCGACAGGGAACATGTCTTCCACGTCTCTGAATCTCTCCACAGGTCTCACCAAGCTCGTCAATTCCTCTGCAACCACCGCCTTCACAGCCTCCGAGTCGCCTTGCTCTGGTGAGCCGGCTACAACTTCCACTTCCATGTGGCACAACATCACCACCTCGGTCATGCCATCACAGACCACCGAGCCATGCAACGATGACTTGGCTTCCACTACTCAGCTCAAATCAACAGCAGCAGGTTCCAGCACGCTCCTGAATTCGACCGCGATGTGGTCCGCCAAGACGTCGTCAGGCGTCACGCAGAGCACGACGCCTTGCGATGATGAGCATGAGACTGGTTCCAGCAGCGCATCAGCATTCTCGACCAGCGCCGTGAGCAATATATCCGTCTCCGACGTGAGAAAGACCGCTGTTTCATCTGCATTTTCTTCAGGGGTCACATTCACAAGCAGAGGCTCCAACAGCACGACCAGCCATACCATTTCCATGACATCGAGCTCTCTTGGGAACGGAGTTGCTACCCACTCGTCGATGGAAACGACGACGACCCCAACTGAGCCATGCGAGGACGGGTCTAGCACGGTGACTGCTGCCACATCCTGGGACGCCTCAGCCACGTCGAGCCATGACACTTCGAGCACTCTGCAGGTCATCCCAACATCCTCAACGGACTCAAGCCGGAGTCCCATGACCAAGTCGGCAGACACTTCGCCGGTCTCCTGGGCGACACAGATAACGCTGACCGCCGTGACCCCTATTCCCACGGAGAGCTGCGTCATCGACACATCCATGGTGCCTGTCACCAGCGCGCCGCTTACCTTCGTTCCGTCCTCGACGCTCATCCCGACAAAGACGGTTTGTCAGGACAATGCACCGACAGGCAAACCGATGCCCGGAAACAATCACTGCGGCGTTCATGGCCTGCCCGTGGGCAACTACTTCCTCGCGCGTTTTGTCGAGAACTCGCCAGGCGTGCGTGTGACTTTGGAGGGTTGTTACCAATTTTGTGCCGTGAGTCTCACCTCCCTCTTCGTATTTCCAACGCCGCCGCATCGGCCAGTCCCATTGACGTTGATGACAGAGCGTGATGAACGCCACTGATGGGTGCAAATCCTACCGCTTTTATCCCGAGAGAGGTCTCAACGTCCCACGATGCGACCTGTACGGTAGCAACGTCGCTTACGCCTTGGACTCTATTGACAATGATCACCCCGACATCTGGTTCGATCTCACATGCGGCTCACCTTCGGACCATAGGTGGGCACACTTGCCCGGTATGAGCCATCTCCGAGATCTTGGGTTGCTGGAATAGATTCCATCTGTCACCGGCGTCAAAGAGACGGACCTGTGGATTTATGGGGTGGATTACAAAGCTGGTTAAAATATGTCTGCACAGCGGATGCGCTGGAAGGGTGTTCGTCAGACATGATTCGGGGAGGACGAGGGTTGGCGTGCTATTGGGCGCACCGTACTAGAGGATGTAATCTTTGATATCGTAATCGTCTAATTGTAGGTCATCAGTCATGCCTATGTGGCCTTCTAATCGAAAGGTATCCTGCGAAGGGTTTCTTGAGTGCCCCTCTTCTTCATTTCCTGAGCAGCAGCTACGCTGCTGGGGACTTTGATGCCGCAGCAGTCGCCCCATCCCACGTGTTGATGCTTGTGATTCCCAGTATGGCCAGTTGAGATCTCACCTCCATCCGCTTCATCTTCTTCGTGTCCAAGCCCGAACTCTTCCTCTGTGCTCATCCCATCCACCGCCGAAATCAGAGAACCGAACAAGAAGTGCTGCATCACGGGCAGCTTTCTCAAAACCTCTGCGACGAACATTCGCCGCATCCCGCCCTCAACCTTGGTCCACGACTTGGAGGCAGATATGTCGTCCAACATGGGGCTATGCCACCTCAGGCCTTTTACTGTCTTGGTACCGTTGACAAAGTTCACCTGTCCAAGGTACAAAAAATCGTCACCAAACTCCTCCAATGTCAACTCCTGATGGATGGCCAAAGGTGTGATGAACGGGTGATGTAGGAGTTGCGAGGAGCCGAATAAGAAGGGAAGAAACTGGTAGTCGTCTAGCCCCCAAACACCGTGTGAGCCGGCAGGCTCCAGGTAGTATGTCAACTGGACGTCTCGCATGAGTTCCAGGTACCGGTTGAAGACGTTCAGTACCAGAGGCTTGAAGTCGTCTCTTGTTAGGATTCGCAGCTGATAGAGGCAGAGGAGCCACATGATGAAGTTAAGCTCATGACCAGAGCCGTAGTCGATGCGCATCTTGTTTCCAAATGAATGCTCCAAGTAGACCGCTACCTCATCGTTCGCAGCGTCGGAGACGCCCAATCGTGTTTGCCATCCCGGTGTCTTCACCTTCACCAAGTCTAGGAACGTCCGGAAAGCCTTGTTACCAAAGCGCGAGCCGCCTTGATCGCTGGGGGGTGAATCCTTGACGAGGCCGTCGGCTTCGTCCAGAATATCGAGAATCGAGCGCACGGAAGGGCTGAGTTCGCTTTCTTTGATGGCGGAGCGCGGGGTGTTTTCAACGGCCTCGGAAAGGCCAAATACGAAGGCTAGGATCAGGCTGTAGGTTGGCGAAGAAAGGAACAGCTCATGGTCTCTTTGGGACAGAATCCGTCTCGAGGGTGTCGTGTACGCATGGGCGGGGAGATCGGGTGGTGATGGTAACGCAGGTGTCTCCGGGCGAGGGGTAGGGTTGGAGGGAGCTCCACGGCGGCGGCGAGGTTCGAGCTTGGGGATTTTGGTGCTTAGTGGGGATGCAGCCGGTGCGTCGGTACGAGATGACAGGTTGACTGAAGCCATAGTGTCTCGGAAAGTTGCCAGCCCAGGGGGTTAAGACTGAAAATCGTGCGAGGAGAGGAAAAGTATGGGAGGAACGGAATCGACGAGCTCCAAGTCGAGCAACCCGCGCGTCCCTACCAATGGCCCAGGCGCCTGCGCGAAGTAGGTGCACGAATACCTACCTGCCTTACGTAGGTAGTGTAGGTATGCATTAATCATGCAGTGTTGCGTCCACTGTAGACCCGCCTCCTTGCTTTGTGCACCTACCTAATTACCTAGCGCCCGTCATTGGAAATGCTTGCCTTAGTCAACAAGTACGTACCCAGCTCTCACCTAGGGACTTCATCTCATTTTTTTTCTTGAACCGAAGAGCAGAGCGTAGCATTTGGGATTGAGGTTTTCCATCAGCCAGGCGTCCAGTCACTTTCGGCCGAAAGTATACGTGCACCAGAAACATCTGGAGAGGGCAGAGAGTTCATTTTCGGCGCTTGGTCTCTTGACTGTTCTTTTTAGAAGATACCTCGAAACAAATCACGTCGCCTGCAACGCGCGTCCCCCTTCGACGATGACCTCCAACAGCAACCCCCAGGCCCGGATATCACATCTTCCTCGAACAGATGGCTCAGCAACGTTTTCAAGGGGTGGTTATTGCGTGGTTGCGTCCGTAAATGGGCCGATGGAAGTGCAAAGACGAGATGAAAACCCTTTCGAGTCGGTCATTGATGTTGTCGTACGACCTGCTGCAGGGGTTGGAGGTCAGAATTACCCGTGTGTGGCTTCCTGTGGGTAACTATTTGCTGATACTCTCGATCAATACATAGGCACGGGAGAGCGCCAGCTTGAATCCATCTTGCAGTCTGCCCTGCGACAGCTCATTCCTGTCAAGAACTTCCCTCGCTGCCTCATTCAGGTTACACTCCAGGTGACGGAAACGCCCCAGAACGACTATGTGAACAGCAAAGTTGTTCAAGCCAAGTCTGTAAGTCAACATTCGGGCAGGCATACGACACTGGCCGCCGCACACAAGATTCGTCTACTAATGCGTTGATCATGACAGAATCTGACTCTACTTCCGGCATTGCTTCACGGTGCTGTCTTGGGCTTGCTATCGGCTGCCGTGCCTTTAAAAGCGATCGCCACCTGCACTGCGGTAGCCGTTCTCAACAACGGCAACAAGATTGTCGTTGAGCCGTCGCCGTCGGAAGCAGATCAGGCAACATCACTCCATGCTCTGAGTTTCACGTCCCAGGATGATTTGCTTCTGGCAGAGAGTGAGGGATCATTCTCCATGAGTGAGTGGGACAAGGTGGTGAGCACAGGTCAGCGCGCATGCGGCCAGCATTTCCAGGAGGATCAGGGTGCTGCGACGACGAGCGAGGACGGCCAGGCTTCGACAGACATGCGGCACTTTATTCGGACGGTGATGGAGTCGAGAGTGGCGTGATATCCCACTTGACATCGAGGCGTGGACATGGACTTGGAACAAGCCGAGCGACTTGCGAGACACCAATGACGCTCTAAGATTTACGATAAGGAAATACTGGCGATCGGAACAAGTGAGGGCGGAAACGACACGATCCCAGCGGTTGCAGCGGCGGAAGCATGGAATTCTTGGCCAGGCGGAGCAGCACCTCCTATGCTTACGGGCCTGGCCGTCGAGGAGTCTGCATATGATATGACGGGCAGGGAGCGACAAATGAGACGACGGTTTATTGGCAAAATTTGGGGCAGTGGCTGGGGAGGTTCGACCGCGAGTAGTCACGGCAGCAGCTCCGAGACGATAAGCAGGGGCAATATCACTCGGCTGCCCACGCAAGGAATGCCATCATATGTCACTATGGAGACGGAAAAGATGTGACAGGATGACAGGGCGTCAAGGAGCGAAGACTTGTATCGTGAAAGCGGAATCTGGAGCAGTGATTAAAACCATTGCTTCAGTGAGGCTGCAAGTCGCTAGACGGGGAGCGGGCCCAGGAGGAAGCACACAGTACACTGTGGTGGACGTGGGGGAATGCTGCATAAGGCGGTGTTTCAGCTGAATCTCAGGGACAGGAACATGAAGCGTGCAGGCACTGGGGCACGGAGGGGCTGCGACGTTGACAAGGCCTGAAGTCAGGAGTTGCCAGGCGTTTCCCGTCACCTCGGCGCTCTCCCGTCGGCTCAGGTTACGGAAACTGTAAACGGCTCCGCTGTCCCGGTTCCTCCTGGCAAACCCACCGGGTAGTGTCGCAGTCTTGACGCCCGCTCTATTAAGCGTACATAGGCTGTAGTTTCCATATCTTTTCTCACTTTGGGCGCCAACGCGAACCGGTTTCCTCGCTGTGAATTTGGGGGGTAGGGAAAAGCCCCAGTCCATCCACGTCTCGTTTGGCAAGTTGGCTGTGATATTACGGGTAGTCGTGCTTGAGTGTCTCGGCTCTTCTTTGCCAAGACGGGAGAATTCACGCTGGGTCCGGTATATCACCACAGATTGAGTGAATCTCCATGGATAGCCTCAGGGGTTTTCTTCTTCTTTTTAAGCATAATCGATCCAGAGGTAACTAGTTTACATTGGTAGGAGTGGCTACAAAAACCTGTGCCATTGTGGCTGTTCGGTCGCTCCCAGCTTCCTTTCCCCCATCCTTTAGTACTCATTCGTCCGTTCTTGTTCCCTCTCCTTATCTCAAGCTGGTCTATGGGTGTTCCAGCGCTGTGGGACTTGGACAGAGACCTCTTACGTACCGCGGCCTCCGCGTCGAAGTTTTCGAGAGTTGGCGCTGCGGACCTGAAAGCCTCAGCAGCCAAGGTGGCCCCAATGGAATACGGATACTGCGTACCCACGGTACCTTAGGTAAGTTGCTGAGGTACCCCTCTAGGTAATGCACCCAGGAGCAAAAAGCCTTTCCCCCCGCCTGAGCCTCCCGTCTACTCGTACTTGCCTCAGTAGGGATTCCCAACAGTGAGTGACTGGATGCCCTGGGCAAAAGTGGGCGTCACTGTTTGATCCGCAACAAGTCCAAACCAAGCCCGACTCTTCTTTCGCCTCTGCGACGCTGACGACGACCGAGACAACCACCTCAGCCACAGAGACATAACCTGGATGCCTGGCAACCTGTACCGAAGGCCAGTGTTTGCCCTCCGCCGTGATGGCCCGCCCTTCACTGACTTCTCCAATTTTGAGTGCTGCTTTACTTGTGTGCTCAAACATACCCCTTTCCGTATCCTCCCCCTTGGAAAGATCACACGCCACGTACCGTATAATACCTTGGCTAAGTCTCCGTAGCAAGGTTCCTGCCCAAGACAGCCTGGCCGTCGGTTCTCCTTAGGTTTCCTACCTAGTCTCGTCGTCTTGTCACCCCACCCGAAGCTTGCAATCACACGGGCTAGCGGTGGCTCCTGTCCAGGTTGCCGGCAGCCGCCCCGCCGTGATCTTCTATACCAATGGAAGTTAACGCAACCATCAGTGTTTCCTTGCAAGAAGAACAACCATTGCAATGTCACACTATCTCGGATGGCAGCAGAGATCATCGCTAGCATCGGCGGTGACGACGAGGAGGAGGACGACGAGGACAATAGCAAAGCCGCCGCTACCTCACCTAAGACCGGATTGTTCAAGAGTCTCTGGGTCTTTCATCCTACCTCTCATGTCTCCTGTCTTCCATGTCATCGGCGGGCCTTTTGCCATGTCTCGGAAGTTCAGCAACTCCTAGACCGAGCAGCAGCAGAGAGTCAAGGCTCAATCGCTCGAAACAGGACGGCACAATGCAGCCATAATCAGGGTGATCTACGCTATACCCAGACCTTGCCCTACAACGAGGAACACGACACAGATCAGCCAGCGGTCAATTCTACGAGCTGAAGGCCAGACCCGGCCACCGGTGGGTGTGTCGTGTATTCAAGCCCGGAGGATTGTAGACAAATACCAAGGTCCATCACATGACCATGCGCGTCGCTGTGGTCAAGTCCACTATCTAGATGCACCAGGGATGCAAATTTGATGCGCATGTTGTAGGCCAAACAAGAGGCGCTGCAAAGCAAGCAGCATGGAACTGGGGCTTGGAGCCGTTGTTTTGTTGTCGTCCTCGAGGGCGCTTGTCTCCAGCGTATCGTCCCCTGTGTTGTATCGTAGTTGTCACACTACGCTGTCGACTGCCTCACGACCAGTTCCAGCCGTCTGCGGGCGTGTTTGGCTGTTGCCATTGGTCGCGTCCAGCGCTAGCTGCCAATAAATGTGTGTCCATCACGTCCATCACGTCCATCACGTCCATCACGTCCATCGCGACGCCTGTCAACCTTGCCATCACTCTGTCACAATGCTATTCGTCTACGAGAAGGAAGTGGAAACGAAGGGACAGATTAGCCTCTTGATGGCTGGGTGCTTGCGCACGGATTATTAGCGAGTCGTTGGCCTGTTTCTACCACCTACGGGTGTCTTCATGCTGGCGCCCCCCCTCTTCTTGTGATTGTGAAGTAGGTAAGGTAGGTAATAAGGTACGGATGCTGGGCGCGGTGAAGGAGTCTGTGACAGACCGATAGTGTTGTACAGTATACAGCTAGCGGGCGGCGCATGTAGTGAGCTGAGCGGGTGCTCAAGACACTCCTGTCTCCCGTCGTCGCCTCCTCTGGATTTCTGCTACTGCAAGTCACTTCACCTCATCTTTTTCTGAGAGCGGTGCATCATCAACAGCCCTGCACCTGATAGGGATCTCCCTGGCCCGCTACGGGGGGCTGCTGTCTTCATGCCGCCCCCTGTCCATACGTTTGTAAGGCAAGGAGCGCTGCCCTGCAGCAAATGGCACTGAGGACGGAGAAAGCCTCCACGGGGACGGCCTGGGCGGGGGCCGCCAGGAACGGGGGGGATCCGTTTCGCCGTTTTAGCATCCGCCGCACCTTGTCCTCGAGGCTCCTAGCCCGCTTGCACATCTCTCACCCACCTTTGCATGCACTCGTGCGGGATTGTACCTTGTGGAACATGTTATAGAGATAAAGGTATGGAATTTGATGTGAGGTGAGGCGGACAAGGAGAGGCATGGCGCTTCGTGCGGGCTCTTGTTTGATGATAGAGACCATCCCGGCGTTAACGACGATGCTGAAGGTACCTACCTACCTATTCGTACCTAGGTACACTACCAAAGTAGTGGGACTGCCTGGGGCTACGTTCCTCAGACTGTCCGAGCTTGGCCGTTGCGTCAGGTACTGTAAGGCAAGGTACCTACGTGCCTAGCAAGTGTTGATGGGAGCGCCCCCAGTACCCAAGGTAAGGTGAGGTACCTGAGGTAGGTAGGCCCAGGTCGCATCCATTCTCATCCTCGATCGACATCAGACCAAAAGGAATGTGCCTGAGGGGCACTTCTCATCTTCTTTCTTTTCGTTATTAAAGCCTCCTGCCGTTGGGATGCAGTCCCAGGCCGTCGGTCTTTCTGCTTTCTGTCAGCCAGTCTGGTCACTCTCTACTCATTTCAGCTTCGTTTTTTTTCTTCGCTCTTCTCCGCCCTCCTCCTCCTCCCCTCCTCTTTTCTCTCCTCCCCATTTGAAGAAGAGCTCTGGTAGTTCTAGCAATTACCTTCTTTTGTATCTTTGGGTTTTTTCTCTCTCTTCTTTCTTGTTCCTCACTTTGCCCTGCATTGCATCGCCTTGCGTCATATCGCACCGGGTACCTTTGCCTGCCTCTTTGTTATGTACCACATTCTATTTTAGACTTTCAGATCTGGATCTCCTCTCTTATTCTCATCGGCTCGACTTATTTCAAGGCCCACACCTCGAGGCAACCTTTGCGGCATTTGGAGCGATTTTCTCCTCGAGCATAACTGTATGCATCAAACGAGACTCGGATATTGGTAATACAACAGCAACACAATAGACCTGGCGTCGACATCAACTTTTGACTTTCGGATCGGCATTTAAACAACACAACCAGCTTTTGTTTTGTTATCCTGGTTGTCCAGATTCAGCAATTCGATCGAACGTCGACGTCTTACGTCAACCACCCTATTCTCCTCAACCACGTGCGACCACTTTCTGCAGCCTGCTGCACCTCGACGGCACCGGCACCTCTGATGCCCGCGTCTCGCCCAATAATTGCGGCCATCACCATCCAGTTCGCCAGTCTTTCAGGGATTCGCCTGTGAGCACACACTGCGCGCGCAGGTCCAACTACCTTGGCTTGGCTCTGTCTCGGGTCCCGCTTCAGCGATAACGACTATTCGTTCCCTCTGTCCCGTCTGCTTCTTGGTTTTCCGTTCCGATAGTCAAACTAGCGTCATTCATCCCATCCCATCCCATCCCACACCCCCTTCACTGCCGCCTCCATCGGTACCCGAGTCACACACTCGCTCAGATTGCTTGCAGTCTGTCTCGGTTCCCTGCTGCCCTGTTCTTTTATCGCCAGGTACCTGGTCTCGCCGAATATCTCCGTTTTGGCCGGCGCTGCTGCGACACGAAGCAACTGCTGTGTCTCTATCCCCTTCGCCACCCAAGCCGCACACGCCTCTTCTCACCTCAAAGGTGCCAGTGTCTCGAGCTTGCCCTGGTTCAACTCCGGTACATCAGCCCAGGTCTTCAAAGTCCTCGACCCTCGCATACGGGTTAACTTGCGCTCCGTCGCTTGCAAACCCCTAGCCCCGAGTGAACTACCTGTACATTTGTTCACGTCCTCCACAAAAAGCACTCACCCTCGACCTCGAATTCACTTACGCGCTAAAGGTAGCGGCTGTAAGTGCCTACCTACCGCCCATCGGTGGTCCGCAACCTCCGGTCACTCCCACGCCCACAAGCCCAACTTGGCTGCCCACTCCTCTTGATCAAGCACGCCAAAACCCGCCCCACGTTCAGTGTCACTCCGCCGCGAAATTCGTCGCTCGGCCTTGGTTACAGGGAGACACACCCCAGGCTATTATTACCTCTTTTCAAGCCTGTCACCATCCACTCTCAAGTCGACCCTCCCCGGTCTTAGCTCGCTTCCTTCCCCTAATCCCCGTCACGGACAACGACCATTCTTAACCATGTCGGGCTTCGTTTCCTCACCCACCGCCCTGCACCCCGCCCTCAGTAATCCGCTCCCGCCGCCTCTGCGCTCCTCCGAGGCAGTTAAAACCTCGCTCTCCGACCGACCCAAGAGCTCCAACGCCGCCCACAACAGTGAGCGCCCATCTACGCCCGACTCCGCAGCCTTTCTCAGCCAGTCTCTGCCTCGCAATGCCGCTTCGCTAGCAGAATCTTCCTTTCCAACTGAGCTCGTCCAACGCGGCACTGCCGCAGACGCTGCATCCGAGACTGCTTCTTCTTCGATATCTGGAGCCGCGACTGCGGCAACTATACCCACCGCCGCCCATCCCGAGCTACCGCCACCTCTGTCGCGTTCCTCCCCTGCTGCGCACCACGGCCACCCTCCCAAGGGCCACCGCCGTAACGCGCCTTCACACGAAGTTCCCCGCCAAACTATTATGAAAGCTCTTGCTTCGGTTGTCCGCAGAAACAAACCCGAAGCCCTTTCACTCACCGGCATGTTATCCGCACAGAGTGGTGTCGAGAACCGGCCCGCTACCTCGTCTTCTCAGAAGCTGGCCGACGCACTCAACGAGCTTGCCAACCGCAACATGACACCCACTACCGCGCTGCCCTCGCTGCAGTCTCCTTGCTTTTACCACAACCGCTTTGACGATGCCGTCAATATTGACAAGGTCCTCGAGGAAATCAAGAACGACGACTGCATGTCTCACTCAAGGCTGGTCCAGACCGCTACAGGCGTCAGAGAGGTCTCCAAGCAGCTCCAGCGCCGTCCCATCAAGCGCGCCGTACGCAACGTCATGATTGTTACCAAGGCTCGCGACAACCAGCTCGTCTACCTCACTAAAGAGCTTGCGTCCTGGCTTCTGCGCACTCCGAGATACGGTTCCGATGTCGGCGTCAACGTTTACGTGGATGCCAAGCTCCGCAACTCTCGTCGTTTCGACGCGAACGGCCTCCTGGCGGAAAACCCTGCCTTCCAAGACATGCTCCGATACTGGACGCCCGATTTGTGCTGGAGTCAACCTGAGAAATTCGACCTAGTCCTCACCCTGGGTGGCGATGGTACGGTGCTTTTCACCTCCTGGCTCTTCCAGCGCATCGTGCCTCCCGTCTTGTCGTTCAGCTTGGGCAGTCTCGGCTTTCTCACGAGCTTTGAGTTCGAGAAGTATAAGCAGCATCTGGATCGCATCATGGGAGAGGAGGGTATGCGGGTCAACTTGCGCATGCGCTTCACCTGCACGGTGTATCGCGATGGTGCCAGAGGCGAGGAGGCTGAAGAGGGTGAGCAGTTCGAGGTTCTCAATGAGCTAGTCATCGATCGCGGACCGTCCCCATACGTCTCCAACTTGGAGCTTTATGGTGACGATGAGCTCCTTACAGTGGTGCAGGCCGATGGATGCATCTTTTCAACACCAACCGGGTCTACTGCCTACTCGTTGTCCGCCGGAGGATCGCTTGTGCATCCCGACATTCCCGCCATCCTCCTGACGCCAATCTGCCCACACACCCTCTCTTTTCGCCCAATGGTCCTCTCCGACACCATGCTGCTGCGCGTTTCTGTGCCGCGCAACTCTCGTGCTACGGCCTATTGCGCTTTCGACGGGAAGGGAAGGGTTGAACTCAAGCAAGGCGATTACGTCACAATTACGGCGTCTCAGTATCCGTTTCCTACTGTCGTACGCACTCAGACCGAATGGTTTGACAGCGTTTCTCGCACTCTACGCTGGAATACTCGCGCTGCCACGCAGAAGGGGTTTGATTCTTCAGCCAACAGCTTGTGCCCCTCGGAGGACGGCAAGGACGAAGAGCCTGAGTGGGACATCGATACTGATTCGGCTTGCTACGCCAGTGAAGACGGCAGCATCAGTGCGAGTCCCCTGAGAAGACAGATGAGTCTCTTGGGCATGTGAATTTTTTCCTCTCAGAGGAGACAGAGAGAAAAGCAAACGCATGATGATTCCCCACAACGCATTTTTTGTTTTTAACCCGCGGCGAAAGGGCGTTCCAAAGACCTATTCATCGACCCACCTGAGCGAGGCGGGCTAGACGCATTGTTTTGACGTTTTGATTTTGTTTTTTAAAGTTCCGGCTTCATAGACATTGGCAACGCTAGCCAGGGAGCGAACAATTGTGTCGAGGGCAGTCAGAGGCCCGAATAGACACGCCCGCACGGAAAAAAGTCATACTAGACAGCGTTGAGGATACTTGGAAATGTCATCCCCTGGCATGTATTTAGTGTGGTTCTCGGGATGAGCCACACGATGGGAAGGGGGAGAGGAACGAGTGGAAAGTCCCATCGACATAGAATCCATACCGCACCAGCTGAATAGCAGATTTGGTTAAGTACAGAAACAATAATGGTCAATAAGATCTAGCTCTGTGGAGTGTGCGGGGTGTGTATGCTTGCGCGCGCTTTTGTGCAGAACATGGCTGTGCAGGGTAGATCGAAAGAAGACGTGAATGGGAACATTGCTTAGCCTTTCGTTTAGAAGCCATCTCTCTAAAAGAGACAGTGGATCTTCAACCGAGAATATCAATGATTGGCCGGTCGTGAAGATGGGGCGGGAAGAAATGTCGATGGATATCTTCCAGTAGTGCATGATTCTTCGCTCTTTCGTCTTCGCCTCACCCGGTTCGCTGTGGCGTTACTATGCTAGTCTACATACAACAGACACTGACTGCGCGCATTCAACCAACATGTTACAAAACATAGCCATATCCAAAGCCACACGACTCAATCGGACTCAGTCGTCCAGTATGCACAAGAGGCCCCCAACCTCGAAATACCATTACCGAGGACCAAGTGTCGGCGTTGGTTTACCAGGCATCGGCATTATCTGCTTGCCCCATACCCAGTGCATACACCATGTGAGAGAGATATTGCTCAAAGCTTCTCTGCAAGAGTCGCTTGTTCCAGGAACTCTTCGGTTTGTTTCGTACATAAGCCTTACTAGCTCATGGACCGCTCTTTTGCCTGAAGATGGCATGACCTCGACCAAGACAAGCATGGGGCATTTCTGCTGTCATGCCGTACGTGAACTTGTTTTCGTAAGCAAGGCTGGCGTGGAATCACCCAAGCACCGAGCCATCACCTCCAGTTCCCTTGACTCAAAGACAGCAAGCCTGCGATGCAATCCATGTCCCCCTTTTTGCTCGGGCTGACTTCACCACGCATAAATATTTCAACCTCATCCGCAGGCTTTTGCGCTGACAGGCCTTCATCCTCGAAGATGGACATGTCCTTCCCAGAATCTCTCCGACCCATAGCCGGCATCGTTCTGGCGCGGCTGCCACTAAAGATGACTGGTCCTGGATGGTCCTGAAGAATGCGACCCGTCCGCCTCGCGTTGGGCTTGTAAGCAGCTGTCGTAGGCAATGGCGCCCCGAGTTCTCCGGCTGGCGATATGCGACGTGCGTTCCCCTCTTCATCTGGAAGCCAATTTTCCTTGTCAGAGTCGCCCGATGGGGACACCAGCATGTTGACCTTGACTCTTGCGGGTTCCCTCTCATCCGTCGGCCCGTCAGCGTCAACAAGCGATGTTTGCATCCTGGCTACACTCGATGAGGTCCGGCACAGCTTAGGCTTCTTGGCCTGCTGAGGCCGGGGTGTCGGCCTGCTTGCTGGAGAGTTCCGCTTTGAGTTGTTATTTTGTAGGATGCCACTGGTCGAGCGTAAAAGACTGATTGCGGCGACGGCCGAACCATTTGACTCGTTCTCTGCCTGTGCAGTGAGTTCGTCCCGGGTATCAGCATCACAACATAGTTCCCAGGCATGGGCATCTCGGGATCGTCCGCGAGATAGAGTCGGTGGGAGAGTGTCAGTGAGAGCCGAGATGGGAGGTAGGGTCACACTCGGAAGCGCACTGTGACTACGTTGGAGAGAACGAGGCTTGACTCGCGGCAGACTTGGCAAGTCCGAGAACAGTCCCGTAGGCTGCAACCGCGGAGGCGAGGATTCATTCGACACGAGCTCCGCTTTGCCCTCGAGAGAAAGTGACAGGCGCACATGTGATTGGGGGGGAGGAAGAATAGGTGCTGCAGACGCGGTTGACTCGCAGGATGGAGGGCATTGCTCAGATCTGATGGGTGTGAGTTTGGTCTTCGTCAATGCATGAACACAACGGAAGCCATACCTGGGAGTATCGTCTATCCTGCGATCGAGCCTGCGATCGAGCGTCGACGGCGTGGAAAAGGAACTTGCAGGGTTCCACCGCTTAGACATAAGTCCTATGGAGCTTGAGAAGGAAAACGAGGATGAGGTCTGCGGCTGAGAGGCAGGGTCTGACTGTTGAGTTGAGGGGGTCTTCAGAGCGCTGTCTCCCGAAATGCCAATTCCATGGGATGGACTGACGGTGCGAGGACCGTCGACGGCTTCCTTCGCGCCCGTGTGAACAGGCTTGGCTGGTGTCTCCATAGGCGCAGAAGCGCTACTCATAGCAGCAGCTTCGACTATTGGTGACGTCTTATCCTCGCCGACCGGAGAGCTATATGATGCAGGATCAGAGGAGAGTATCTGCATTCCACCGTAACGGAGAGCTGCGATTTCCTGTGCAGAGAGGGGACGCGACTTGCGCCGGTCATTCTGGCGACGGTTTTGAAACCAGATCTTAAAGACGGATCAGCAACCATTTGATAAAAGTCTGTGTAAAGCATTGTCTTTACTTGAACCTCCTTCTCGTTGAGGGAAACGCGCTTCACGATATCCAGACGCGCCGCCTTGTCTGGTTTTGGGTTCGCGAGGTAGGCATTCTCAAGTATGCTCTTATCTTTGGCGCTATGTGACAATGTCAGTGACTGACGCGTGGTCACGCGACTCAATTGAACTCACGCAGTCCTCTTCCGCTTTCCCTTTGGGTGCTTCTCGGGCTCCGCGCCGTTCACTATTGTTTTCGACGTTGTTGATGATGTCGCGAGATCAGACGACGAAATGATGAGATCGGGTGCGGAGTGCTCTAGTTGAGAGAATGAATCACTCGAGGACGGAGGGGAAGTTGCCGCGGCAGCAGTCGGGACTGGAGGAGAGGTGTCGGAGGCGGGCATGTTGGTGATGGTCGAGCTGGATTACGTTTGGATGGCAATCATGGTCCGGGGAAAGACGAAGTATCCGGAGGGGCTAGGAGGATAACAGACACACGATCTTGTAGCACTGGCAAAACAAAGGAGATTGGGGAGGTGCAGCAACGAAGCAGAAGAGCAAGCCAGAAGGAAGAGGGAGAACGATAACGAGAGGTTCTGGGAACGAACGAGGTGGGGAAGTTGAAGGTCGAGACACGAGACGGCGCGGTCATGCGTAATTAGGTACGGCGACGTGCGGTCTGTTGCGGCGTACCCTTGGTGTTGAACTTTAGCGCGTCTGACCCCAACTACCTACCTAGCCAGATACCTGGCGTACCTCGGGCAAGTTTCAGCGTACCTCAGTGGTTCGGTGCCCTCCATTTCGTGCGTCGACTGAACTCGGACACTGAGTGGAGGGTAGGTAGGTAGCCTAGGTAGGTACCTTAGGTATGTCCCACCCCGCAAGCTTAGGGCAGCAGCGCCAGGCACGAACGTAGGTAAGGTACCTAGGTGCAGCGCGATCGCGGCACGGGTTTCCATGGCCCACCTCCAGTCACGTAAATCCAGTGCCAGGCACCTTACGGATACCTACCTTACCTTATCATCGTATTCGAGCTATCGCAGACGAAGAATTGTATTGCTTGAGATACATCTCTTAGCCTCAACGTACATCGGTCTAGGTACCTATCCAGGCAGGGAGGGCCACAGGGTAAAGTGATGTGGCTGAGGCACATGACAGTCAACAACAAGGCACATTTGACGAGGCTCGGACCAGTCAAGTCGCGTCTTCGTTGTCAATTAGGAAATCAAACAAAAACAGTACCCATCTCCAGGGGCTACACTTTCAGCAAATACCTACCTGCTGCATGCATGCATGTCCCTAAGACACCATGCCAATTACGAAGCAACCTTTTCGTCTTGTTTTTCTGACTTAGTCGCTGAATCTCGTGGCATCTCGAAGGCTAGTTACCAACTTCAACTTCATTGGGCTGTACCTCGCAAGGCTTGCCGCCAGGTACCAATTGCCAGACAATGACGTCTGAGTTATATGCAAAGCTGATGTTGCGTTGGACGTAATCTACGCCGGCGCACTGAGGACCTACCGGTTCTGTGTCTGACTGAAAAAGTCATGAAGATTGTATTAGACCTGCAGCCAACCAGAAAGGCAAAGATAGAAATGTCTCCCGATGACCGCATTCAACAGCGCGGTCGCTTCGTTCTTCAATCACGATCCTTGCGATCTCGCTTCTAATTATGCACTAGGCCAAGAGAGGGGACTTTTAGACCCTGTCTAATCCCCTAAAACGCGTCGCCAACCCTGGTTCATGACTGTTCGTGCCTGTGCCCATGCCCGTGCTCGCACCGTCCACCGTCTGCGCCCCTTGTTTACTGCCTCTCTCTGCTCCATCCCCAGATGGCGTCGCGACGACCTAAGGTACTGGGTAGGTACGAATGCTCCGGAGGATGCGGCGAGCTGGGATGCTAGTCCACGGACACGGTGACCGATGTAAATAATCAGACACGCAATTGTCGAGTTGATGTTTAGCCTTCGCCTACCGCCGCCCCTTGTAACCAAACGTACCGATGATCCTCGAAGAAGACAGGCCAAGCCGGTGACACTAGATCTTCAGCTGAATCAGCGGAAGACGTCAGTGACTATACCGGCATTATCCTCCTCTTTTTTGACCACTAATTTTGGGTGCGGAAACTATCATTGGTAATTGACATGCTTATCGAGTTGCGCACCGACTAAGTATGAGATTGCTATCTAATTATTCGTATCGCGTCGTCTGCCACGGCTCGCATAGGGGAATGGAAGGGAGCGGTTCAACCCCTGACACCTTGAATATGGAGTGAGAACTCAGTGTTCATCTTGTAAGGCGTCGAACTACCTACTCAAAGTTTGCTGGCCGTCTAGCAGCAAATGTAAGGCCCTTCCATCCTTCTTCGAGTCTACCAAATGAACCGGCCGTGCCGTCTTCTACCATCATGGTCATAGCTAGCAATTGCCAGTCTGCGCCAAAGAATCCCGGTTCACGATGCCCTGTTGGCCACTCCACCACAGTCGGATCATGATCCAAATATCATCTCTATCTTTACAGATCCTCGTCCGACAGCTCACCGGGCAGGGGCATGTTGGCAGCCTCATCCATCTCCTTGCGGTACTGCTCGAGAAGCTTCTCGTCAACCTGGGCGGTAGGGGGGGCGAGAGCCGGCGCGGCAACAAATTCCTAGCGGTCCGTTAATATCATTGCATCTTGAGCACGCGTAGGCTTATACTTACCAGAGCAGGGTTGCCAACAAGCTTGCGCGCGAGCCAGAGGAAGGGCTTCTCGAAGTTGTAGTTAGACTTGGCGGAAATATCGTAGTACTGGAGGTTCTTCTTGCGGTGGAAGGTGATGGTCTTGGCCTTGACCTTGCGCTCCTTCACGTCGACCTTGTTGCCACAGAGGACAATAGGGATGTTCTCGCAAACGCGGACGAGATCGCCTGTGGATATTGAGTAAGTCATGCTGGCAGTAATATTTGGTTCCGTCCAGAAATTGGCGAAATCGCTCGTGGAGGGGTTGACGTACGGTGCCAGTTGGGGACGTTCTTGTAGGTGATACGGGAGGTGACATCGAACATGATGATACCGCACTGGCCGTTGATGTAGTATCCATCACGGAGACCGCCAAACTTCTCCTGGCCGGCGGTATCCCAGACGTCGAACTGAATCTGACCGAAGTTCTGAGGTAAGAAGGAAAAAATCAGTTTCCGTCACAAACTCGAGACCGCAGCAAAATTGCCCCTTTGAGGACACTTACCGTGGTGAAACCTAAAGGGTGAACCTCGACACCCAGGGTAGCCATGTACTTCTTCTCGAATTCACCAGTCAAGTGGCGCTTGACGAAGGTGGTCTAGAATATTTTTCACGGTCAGCAACAGAAAACTTACGATGTCCAGTATGATTTCGTGGGGACATAGTGAGGGAGCAGCCGCAGCGACGCGCGCGCGATAAGAGGCAGGATGTCTGAACGTCCACAACTGACCTTTCCAGTACCACCATCGCCAACAAGGACGAGCTTGAAGGTGGGCGTCTGCTGAGCGGCAGCCATGTTCGCAATCGCTCGATGAGTTGGCTCGGTGCGAGTCTGTTGTAAACAAGCGGGGCTGATCGAGGGGTTAGCAATCGGCGCAAAAGAAACAAGTAGGCGATGGCGAGAAGGAATTTCGCAGTGGGTTTCCATGCAGATGGTAAATCCGGGTGGCTCGTACCGTGGAGAGACAGCGTAGACGGGCTGTGGGCGTTTGACGTGTAGGAATCGTCACCGACTGATCGACTTTGGGGGGGGGTGGTTGTTTTTGAGGATGGCGGGGAGCTTGTAAGGAAGCCGTACTTCTTAAGCGAAAATTTCAGTCAGGCAGGCCAACGGAGTCGGGTAGGCACGATTGGGCTAGACGCCTGTCACGTGCATGGCCGCCTCGTCATAGCGGGGTCCCCGTCAAGGCCTGTAAAAATCGGTGCAATCACTCCCGTCCTGTCTTAGGCACGTACCCAATTGCTTAGGTACCTGGTAGAAGGTCACGTACGTAGGGTGGTCCAGTAGTCAAGTAGCATGCAAGAGCAGTCTGGCCGGTCAAATCCAGTGAGGTGCAGGCAGGGCACTTCACCTTCTCTCAGGCAACTCAGGTAAAGGAAAGAAAGACATGGAAGAAATTCGGAAAGTTTCCCATCCCGGTAGGTCTGGCGCTAGTCCCCTTGTGGATTTACAAAATTTATTCACCGGTCCCACTAATTAGTCTGTCACTGCTAGGCTGTAATTACACCTAGGTCCTCGATAACGAGGGGTCGCGACACTGCATCACGGGTTGCGCCGCTGGTCAGTCGACTTGTGTGGCTGTTCCCCAGAGCGTGGCAATATTTACTGCTACTTGGCATCTGGATTTATACGGCATCGTTGGGTGTTCCTTACACAAACACACACGACAACGCGAGCCTGACATCGGATTCCCGCCTGCTGCTTTGAGAAATACTCCCATTGGTTGATTATCTACAGGCAGCAAAAAGTAAAGCCTTGCTCCGTGCCTGGGTAGTTGCCAACGCTCGATCATCGTATAGGTGACGATTGCAGCCTAACGACCTCGTTGTATTGTTGTGAGTCAGACGTCACGATTGAACCATTGCGTGCTTTACAACGCAGAGCGTACCAGCACATCACGATGGCTTCTGTGCCAGTCTAGCGTCTCATCCTCACAGTGGAATGATATGACAGCCCAACAAGCCTCGGCCGCCCCAGTTGCGTGTCGGCATCAATGTGAGTTGTAGTTCTTGCCGTGTGCCTGAACCAGGCCTCGACACCCGAACCGGCACCGGTTGCTTGCAAGTTGTCAGTTTGGCACGTCCGCGGCTGTAGACCCGGCCAAGTGGATTATTTACTTACACCTTCATTCCCCTGGACACACTCGGCAACCTTCTTGAGATTGTCATGGTTCGCAAGGCTGACGTAGCCAATATTCCGAATCTCGTCATTGGGCTTTAGACCAGCCTCATCGGCTGGGCTGCCAGGGATAACACTGTTGACTTTGGCGAAAGGCTCCTGTAGTGTTTCCAACGGCACATGGTCCGGCAGAAAGCCAATGTCGCCTCTTGATGGTGCCGGCTGCGTCTCGTCATCTTCCTGCAGACTCGCAAAGTGTTCGTGAAGATGCTTCTCCACCAATACCATGAGGTCTTTGTAGTCATTGCGGAGGTGAATTATGCGGGCTCTAGTTGTGCGCACTGTTTGTCTACGGTCAGCCGATTGACTGGGACATTTGCAACCTGATGTGCATTGCGTACCTTGGGCGACGTCAATATCTGCTCTTGGGAAACCGTCACGGGTAGTGAGAGGAGTGCTCATGTCAACACCATGCTAAAAACAGGTTAGATCGCTATCATGTTCATGCCGGTGCCGAGGCGAGATTAGGGGGTCCGATTTACAGAATCAAGGACTGCGCCGAGAGCTTTGAGCTCGGCCTCCATGTCATCTTTCTTCTTCTGCAACTCGGCAAAGTTCAAGCGGTGGAGGTGGCCGTTTTTCGCGGCGCTGGTGGTCGGTCCCGAGGGTACCGTGGGAGCGTGGATGTTATTCATTCTGAGCGGCAATCCCATTGTCTTCGGCAGGGATACCACCGGCGAATTTCCAGCCGCAGTACCCTCGTTCGATAGCTTCGACGACTGCAGCCTCTCTGTATGCTCTAATGTCCTGTCGCAACAAAGTTGAGGAAGAAGGTGTGTAGATGGGACATGAGACAACGTGAATCGCCTTTGGATCAGTTCGTAGGTACTGTTGGACTATTGCCCAGCGTTGCATTGCAGTGGTGATGAATACAATGCTGATGGCAACAGCTCCGCAATGTTACACAGTACCTAGCTAGTTACGGTACCTCGTGTGCCTGCCTGATTGCGTGCGCAAACCTAGCATTCGGCAGGCGGTCTGCAGAACACGGGCATGTACAATACACCTCAACTTGGAAATGACAGCATCAGCCGCTGGGTACATGACTAAGGGAACGAGCTCAGATAAGATAACATAGCCCAAAGCAACTACTACCTACCTACCTAGGTACCTGAGGTGCCGCGACCGTTCCCACCTGAAGCAAGAATCAAACCGCGTCGCAGTGTTGCTTTACCTTCAGCAGATATCCCAACTTAGCGTCCACATTCTGCTGGCTCTCCGCGAGCTCCCTTGCCAGAGACCAAACTCCTTCGATTTCTACGTCATTAGCCTACTTTGTGCTCGCGATTCGAGCAATTCGCCTCCAAGATGGCAACTGGCATCGATGCGAAATTGCTGAAGTCGACAAAGTTTCCGCCGGAATTCAACCAAAAGGTTGACATGCAAAAAGTCAACCTTCAGGTGATGAAAAAGTCGGGCCTTTTGCTTGCCACTCGCTGCTCGTTCAATTGCTAATTCGTCTCCTTTTTACAGGTGGATCGCAAGCAAAATATCCGACATACTAGGGAGTGAGGACGATGTCGTCATTGAGCTTTGCTTCAACTTGATCGAGGGCTCTAGATTTGTCTGTCTTACTCCCGCATTGCAACCTCTTTATGCTAACAAATGACAGCCTGACATCAAGTCTTTGCAAATACAGCTCACTGGCTTTTTGGATAAGGATACCGCGCCGTTTTGCAAGGAGCTCTGGAAGCTTTGCCTCAGTGCCCAAACCAGCCCCCAAGGGGTTCCGAAGGAACTACTCGAGGCCAAGAAATTGGAACTGATCCAAGAGAAGGTGTGTGCACAGGTTGACAGCCCATTGCTGCAGAAACAACAGCTGATAGCTCAATCAGATTGAGGCAGATCGAGCCGCAGACGAAGCTCGCCGCCGACGCGAAGACGCAGAGAGACGGGAACAAGAAATCAGTCGATTGAGGGAACGCGACCGTGGGGACCGTGGACGCGGTCGTGGCGACACTTGGCGTGGCCGTCGCGGAGACAGGGACTACGACCAGCGAGGCAGGCACGGCGGACGATTTGGCGAAAACAGATCACGGTCCCCAGCCCAGAGATATCGCGAACAGAGGGAAAGAGGTTCTTTTCGTGGCAGTCAGCGTGATAGCTATGTTCCAAGAGACCGAGTCGCGGTCGGGAGACGACCCGGTCGTCGCCGTTCGCCGTCAGTAGCGTCAGCATCCTCGCGTGCTACGTCTCGGAGCACGAGTGGTGAACGCAAACGCAGTTCTAGTCGTGGTTCTCCGTCTCCCCCGCCTCGAGGTTCTCGGCGAGATTGCAGTTCCTCTGTTGGACGGCCTTCCAAGCAGCGGTCCAGGTCCCCGAGACGAACAGCGCCCGGGCACCGTGATACGCGACGGAAGCGGAGCCCTTCCAGAAGCCGTTCGACCGCTTCACCTTCACCCAACAGGCGACCAGTCACCAAGCGTCGCAGGTACTCCTCATCTAGAAGCAGATCACCAGTACTCGACAGGAGATCCCGGAGCAGATCCTCGAGCAGTGCGTCATCGCGAAGATCGAGATCCCGAAGTCGCAGCCCCAGACGCCAGTCATACAGCAATCGTGCTGAGAATCGCGTACAAGGACGTCGAAAACGTCGCAGCAGCAGTGCTTCTGGTCTGCCGGATAGCGACAAGGGCGGCACCAAATCAGACCACGATGGGCAACAAGAAAGAAGACGTCGGAGAGACGAACCAGCTGGGGCCAAGCGTCGTGGTACATCATCGGCGTCGTCGAGGTCTGGACATGGCTCTACGTAGGAGGCTTTGCGTCCAGGCCTCTGAGGATGGCGGGAACACAGATGAGAAGCTCGAACAATGGACCTCCCGGCAAGCCTAAAGCTAACCGTCTACAAGGATTTGCCAGCCGGACGATACTAGCAGTTACGATTGCTTGCCGGAAATCACTGACTATGTGGAAGACCGACATCGTGCAGCGCCTAACCCGGTACGTTCGCCAATAATCGGTACGCAGCTTGCCGTTCTACATTGCTGGCTGAATGGATAGCGCAACCCCATAGCAAGTGATAAATGACATCCATGATTATTATTATTCCTAATGAATAGTGAATCGAGGCGCACACATGTTTAGTGACGCACTCATGTTCAGTGACCTTCTCGAAAAGCTTGATGTTATATGCGAAAAGTCTCTGTAAGAGACGGCGTGGGTCCGAGCTTGATTACCTGCTTCGTGGAAGGCTAGTCTCAGTCACAGGTGTAATTGAGGTGCCAATAACCACAGTCCTGTCGGTATTCGCACCTTACCTCCTTTGAGAGCTGCGCACAGGCGCCTTACATTAGCGCCTCAGCGCCCAAGTGCCTGCCTTAGGTAACTACCTTCACCCGCCCCCCACTTCCCAGTACAACCTGTCACCTCACTGGGTAGGTAGGTAAAGTACCTAGGTAGGCAGGTACACCGCTGCGGTTCCTGACCGCTCGACGTTCCTTGCCTTGCTCACCCCAGGCACCGGTTGGACAGGCGTGCCGAAAAAGCAAATTCCAGAACGATAGCACCATCATCTCAGCCTCGCGACAACTCCTCCGCCGTGCCCCCTCATCGGACACGATTCGATAAGCTCGTTCGGCCAAACGGTGAAGAGGGTGGATTGATTTCACGCGGCACGTTCGTCATAGTCACGATTTGGGGTTTGACCCGAGATCTTCCAGTACAACAGCTTCTGCCGGCAGTGCCCGGAACGAGGCCTCGAGCGCGTCGAAGCTGCAAATCCGCCACTTTCGTTCGTCAAACAGCGTGTCGGATCATGATCGACTCGTGGTTGACTGATTCCTGTCTATCTCTTCTACATCTGTAGCCTCTATCCTCACAGCTAGCTGTAAGAGCGAGCACTGCCCAAAGCCATACTCAAGGTACAGCGGCTAGAACGAAGAGGTGTGCCATCCGAGTTATGAGACTCGGTGCTTGTTGTACTTGGTACACATCAAGACTTTGACAAGTGTTCATGCTCTGACCTCTATGTTCCCCCTAAACCCTGGCCCTACTCTTCTCCTCATCTTCTACTATCTTCCCACGATCACTGTTGCCGTTCCCCTATTGGCAACATATTTCATCTCTGTTGGCTTGTCTTTAGCTCGGCCCGCAATTTCATCCTCAACAAAGGGAAACCATGAGCTTACCATGGTCTGAGAGCTGCTGCAGCACAAGCCACTGTTTGAAGACATCGCCATTGCTCGATGTCTCTGCCGAAGACGAGAGGAGTACGCTGTTCGAGCGCGATTCGACCCTCGGGAAGTCGTCTGCTCTCGTTGACATGGTGCCGGATGGTACCGGCGCTCCTGAGCGACCGAAATTCGGCTTGCGTGATGCTTCGGCTCAGATGCACAAACGCAAGTCTGTTCACAGTTCCTTTGATATCGGAGATCATCAAGGCGGCCAAGTCAATTTCAAGAAACCCAGGCGTGGCTCTGGGGAAAAGCCATTATGTCAGAAGAGTTACGTCCTTCCATCCACAGTTTGGCAACATATCTTCACCTTAGTGCATCCTAAAGATTTGGGCAACTTATTACAAACGAGCAGGTTATTCAACATGTGTCTCGATCCGCGATCGTCAATCAGCGAGCAGCGAATTTATGAGACGGTTACAGGTTGTTGCAAACCTGTCACGCCTGACATCATTTGGCAATCGTCTCGGAGGCTCTTCTGCCCCAGGATGCCGGCACCCTTACAAGACAAGACCGAGCTCGATATGTGGCGCTTGTGTTGCTCCGTAGTCTGTGAACGGTGCGCAACGGTCAAGGAAACTCATAAGCGAGACAAAATCACTTCCTGTCGGCAAGGGCCAGGGGTTGATGGGTTGGCGACTGTATTTGCTTTTGGCACTGTCTGCTGCGGCCAGTGCCTAGTGAAAGACTCCGTCAAGGCGAGTTCTATGCTATACGTCCTGTTGGGCTTGAACTAACCGGTTTCTAGGAGATTGATCTGTTGCTCTCATCAACCACGCCCTCGTCACTCATCCCTGCTCTTCCTTTTGTATTTGTTACGAATGAGCTTCATGTGGTCTCGCCGAGCCTTATGTCGGTCGAATCCAATGAAGAAATGCCACAAACGACAAAAGTCTTTTGGGCCCCGCACATTGAGACAGCTAAGGCCGAGCTTCAACAGGTACAAGGTCTAGGTGCCGCGGCAGTCGAGGAATGGCTCAAGGGTTTGGAAGCCCGAGGGAAAGATGCTAGGCAAGACGCCTCGCGATGGGAGAAATGGGCTCTTACTGGAGGCTTGTTGCATATGCGGCAGCCTGCTTCGTCAGCACCAACGATCATCGCGGAGGACCAGCCCTTCAAGATCCAAGTTCTACACGACGAGCTTGAAGCTACCGTGCCTGCCGACACCTTGAGCCGGTCAAACATGATAGCGAATGCACCGCAGACAGTATCTCAAGGTCGCCAAGAGAGGACTCGAGAAGAGGCTGCCGCGCGAAAAGCCTTGCGACGCATCGAGATTGAGCGGCGGGCTATGTTGATTGATCCGCCACTGCCGCCGAACGTTCTCGTGCACATTCCCTCATTTCAGGCAGCTATTCAGATCACCGCAACGCTCGATGACGATGCTTGGTGTCTCCTCCAGCCGAGATTGCTTGCTCAGCGCGCTGGCGCTGAGCAGGAGGAAAATAAGAAGAAACTTGCAAACATTCAAAGGCCGGTTTTTGAAGCAGCCGAGCCCGCACCAGTGGAAGTTTCGGATAAGGACTGGGACGATATCCAAGGCCCGGTACGTGCGAGCATAGCCAAGTACGCCGACGAGACCATTCGTAGCAATTGGGCCAAGGGCCGTAAAGTCAACAGGGAGAATAGCCCGCGATTTGCAGCTGATGTCCTGGTCTCTGTGCGGGCCAGATTTTACTCAGACGTGGCAAAGAACGCCGCAGATGCCATTGCAAATGGCCAACAACCACCGGCCGACCCCCCACAGGGACCCTTCACACAAAAGCTGACTCTCGAAAACATGAAATGGGTGTTTGATGTGAAAATCAAGGCCCACACCGAGTCTCACCGCAAGGAGTTGTTTTTGTGCAACGGTTGTGACAGTAATAGATATTACGGCTTCGAGGGTGTCATACAGCACTACGCGGCAAAGCATACCAAAGCTCTGAGTCTTGGTAATGTCGTCGTTCATTGGAGGGCAGAGTGGCCACCAGAGTCGCCATTTAGTACCTATCCTCGAACGTCGAAGAAACCGCGCCACAATCCATCGCATGGGCCCCAGCAACAAGGAGCTTTTGGTCCGTCGTCACATCTAGGCCACGAAGCTTTCTTTGCGAACGGAGGCAATCCCGCTCCTATACAATACCCTTTCTCAGCTGGGGCTGCGGCGCAAGCAGGCCCTCCCCCACAACGTGCTGTGTCATACGGTCCAACTCCGTCATATCACGGAGTTGGTGTCCTCGATTCCGGCATTTACGGCCCTCCAGCGTTCGTTGCAGGTGCATCAGTATCGCACCCATCTGCGCCTCCAGGACATGGGCTATTCGATCATGGCCCGCCGCCGGAGTTCCCTCCAGTTATGATGGCGCCGCCTTTCCTTGCCACAACTCAGTATACTGCAAACAGTGCAGCTGATTTTTACCCCAGTGCTCAGCCGCAATACCACGTGTCCCAAAGCAGCCTGTATCAGCCGACATATCACGCTCAGCTCGAGAATCTTGTGCGTAACGCAAGAGGTGTTTGGAACACGCTCTCCAGCATCAAGGACATACCAGGGCCTTTGAAGGTCTGCGTTACATTTTACCACGTAGTGAAACGCTTCCGATTGGCTTTCTCAGAAACGCCAAGTCTTCGAATGTTCAACGACGGTCTTTCGAACCACAAAGGTATGCGTCCCGTCCGGAACGTGAATGGCTTAATGTGCCGAGCTTGCACACTGGGTCTGGGCAATGCTCCGCACGTCTTCATGGAGAGAAAGACCTTCTCTCTGCCTCAGCTCACCAATCACTTCGAGAGTCTCCATCTCGGCCTTCAACATGCCGAACCCCAGGGCCGAATGGATATGGACTGGACGCAAGACATGCTGTTGCTACCAGAACTGCCTGGGCTAGGTGCTTTCAAGGCGACTCTTGGAACTGGCGGTCATAAGTTCAATTTAGTACACGAAGCTGTTCCCTGGGTGTTTGATCATACAAGAGAACCTATTCGCCCATGGCCCCGAGCTGACGGATCTGGTGACGAGTTGCGAGAGCCGGACCGGGAAGAACCCGGGTATATTCGACAGCAATGCGATGCGCAGATCTGGAAGGAACGAATCAAGGACGACGAGATAGTGGCGGCATCTCGCAGCTCCCATGCTGAGTCACATGGGGATATCAGCGCTATGCAGCAATTTGGCCCAGCCCACAAGTTGAACCCTGAACAGAGTATTTTACATCTGGATCGGCATTCTAATTTGTCGGGAGACGGCAGTTCTCGTGGGCAGTCTCGTAACTCCAGCCTTTACCTTGCTGAGCTGCATACCGATTCATATCCGAGGCGCGGCTCGCAGGACTACTCAAGATTCTACACCAGGTTCGACCGGGCAGAGTCACTTAGGCCTTATGGTTTCCTCCCGCAAGACTCATTGACCCAATCAGATGGGGTGGCGCTTGTGGAGGGAAGGTCCGCCCGTTCGACCACGCGGCAGTCAAACGAGCCTGATGGCTTCAATCTTACTGCTGCTCTGGAGTCACACCTAGCCCGAGAGCGCGACGAGCCCGCGCGGTACCAGGCATATCAACCACTGAGCAGAGTACGTGGTGAAGTCTGGGAAGGACCAACACACGAGATCGACTCGGTCTTGGACAGCGAGCACTATCAAGTGATGGAAAGCCGGACACCTCCTCGCCATCAAGCCCCACGTGGAGGAAAGCACCGCTACTCTGCATCAAATAATTTGCCTGTGGACCCATTTCACGATGATCCTTTTAGGGCTTCATGCCCACGACGAACGCCAACGGGGCCTGGCTTGTCGGGCCATGTTGGCGTCCGACAGAGTACTGGAAGCTTTAATACCCGCGAAGCACTGCCAGCGCCCCACGAAATCTCGTACGAAGAAGCATACGAAATAGTCCATGTGAGGGATGCAGAGGGAGAATATGTGATCAGGCGGCCGGCCAGGTATGCATCGCATAGAGAAGACTATTCAGCAGGCAGCGGCCGGGAAACACACTCGACGGCTCGACACAGATCAGACTACACGTCGCCCCAAGAGGTCGCGCCGACTGTGCAACCGTCACTAGTTCAAATGCGACGATCTCGGGCACCCCCAAGGCAAGCACCACAGTATATCTCTCATTACGAAGAATATGATCCCAGGAACCCAGCTTACGTTTCTCACCGTGGTGGCGGTCGCCATGTCGGACACTGAGCAAAAGCTGCTTGTTGGGGTACACAAGGGATTGGTCGGGGTTTCGTTTGTTTAGAGGCCTAATCAATAGATAGACTGCTGCTTTGCTGGTCGCTAGGGCCCTGCCTATGTAGACGCATACCTAAGTGAGTCTAGAAATCCAGACACATATTTCGAGCGAAGGACCACGTACAAGGTACACTGAACTGAGATGTTTAAAGCTGAGGCCCTTGTATTACACACGTATTCGCTTTTCAGGCACAGCAGAGGCACACACCGCTAGCAACGCTGTGGGACAGATGACCCAACCGTGTACAATAGTGTCGATCCTCACAGCATTCCTGACCGTGTCCGTAGAAACGCCAGGGACCTGACCTAGGTCCTCACCATGCCCACTTCGCGGATACTGAAATAAGAAGAGTTGACAGGACTAGTGTAGACAAGAGGCGCATGATTTGCCAGCATCTGTTTCTGTTCCAACACATATCTATAACACTTCGCCAATGATCTTCGCTGCCTCCCTGTATGTCTGGAGCAGCTTCTCACACTTCTCACGCTCCTTCTTGACACCGTCGTCTTCGTACAACAGCTCCTCGAAAAGGACCTCCTTGTAAAGTTCGCTGACGAGTCGGTTTTGGACAACGTCCTTGCAGTGGTTCACCAGCAGGTGCATGACAGCCTTCGGGACTTGATCAGCGATCGACTCGCGCACGATGTTGAAGTACGAGGAAATGAGTGCTCGGATAAGCTCCGTCTCCATGGCTTCCCTCTCCGTCATGGCTGGTTCGCCACCTGTCGCGCCCTGGAGTGGATGTAAGTATACGGAATACATTAAGGGGCTTGATGTGTTGCCAAGACAACTTACGAATGGCGCTCCAAAGTCTACAGATCGGTTCGAGTTGGGGAAATCCAGCTCGTCTTCCCGAACCGGGGGCTGGGTAGGGGTCCGCAAAGCCACCTTTTCTTCGGTCCGGCGGATGCTTTGTGAGAATGTGGGCTCAGAAGTCTGGCTTACATGGCGGGCGATGGAGGAGTTGGGCGTGGGGGACATGCCCTGGGGTGTCCCAATAGGCGAAGCACCGTCTTTGCCAAAGAAGTAGGTCAGGAACGAGTCGCGAGCACCGCCAAGGCCTTGTCCGTTAAATCTGGAGGGAGATCCCGATCTTGCTCCATTCAATGCCGCATTCAGCCCAGTAGCGCCATTCTCCCGTACACCTGGGGATAGACTGCGTGCTCCTTTGCTGGCCTGCTTCCGGAGAGATGCCGGGTCGGCCTTCTCGGGGGCAGCGGCGTTGGCCTCCTCGTCGTCTGGTGCCTCAACACCGTTGCTGCCAAGCTCCTTCAACCTCCTCTTCTCCCGCCGTTCTCTCTCCTCCTGGATGAGGCGTTTTCGTTCTCTCTCCTGCTTGTTGCTGACAACGTTACTCATAGCTGCGGCGGCTCCCAGAAAGTTGGGATGGTTCGTGTTGATGTAAGCGCGTTGGATCGAAATCAGGGATTCTACATATGATGATGTAGGCCCCAGGCGCTCGCGCAGCAGATCGGAAACAACCTCGATCAGCTTTGCTTGCAACCGAGGAAAGCGAGAAAGCTCAGTTGAACCGCATGTGTGGCATATCTTGATCAGCTCCTCGTAGACGAGCTCGACACATCTCTGGCTGGGAATTTCAAGAAGCTTGATTTGTGGCTTCACGAGCAGGTCAAATGCCATTTCCGGCACAAACAAGCTGGGACGAGGGCCGGTGGAGTTGCGGATAGCCGTGCGGATATCCAAAGCTGAGAGGTTTGACGTTGGGTCGATAGACTCGAGAGACATGCCAAAAACCGAATTGAAGATGTAGTAAATGCGGGCGCCACCACACAGCTCCTTGGTGGAAATTTCGGTCGAGGTACCGTCAATGGATGAGATGAATGACGTGGCGAATCGTGTCATCTGTTGCAGAATGAGGGACCCGCGGTGCTCTTTGCCGCTGAAATGCATGTCGCCATAGCTCGCTAATTCCTGTTGCGTCTGACCCATCAGGGTGTTGAGTCGCGCTTTGATGTCAGGCATGCGCTCGCGAATATGAGCCATGAGAGTGGTGTTCAACGTTTTAGCCAAATAGTGAGTTCCGCAGCGACTGGCAATGTTGCGGTACGCCGGGTGATGGCGGAAGAAGTCCGACTCAGCCTTGAGAGCCTCTTCCATAGGTTTGTTCCCCTGGATGTCTTGCTGTGAACGGTTCACAACACCGATAAAGCCCAACTTTAGGGGATACACTCTGCCGGACAAGATATCCAACGCATTTGTGCCATGGTCCATCAGGTCAACCTTGGTGAGTACACCGATGGTTCTCCTTCCCAGAGGATCAACATGCCGAGCAAGCTTCAGAGCTTCCGAGTTCACGATATCAACGTTCGCGGGGGAGACGGCGAGAATGATACTGTTCGGCTTGGCAATGTATTCTGAGATGAGATTGCGCGTCTGCTTCTCGATGTCCGTGGGTTGATCACCGATGGGAACCTGTCGAATAACGTCAGAACGACGGTGTAGACCGGGTATGCTTTAAGAAGAAGTTGGTAGTACCTTTGTGAGTCCTGGTAGGTCGACGAGCGTCAAGTTGAGGACATGCGGGGAGTAAATCTTGAGATTGATAGGCTGCCGGTTGATGCCCTTATTATTGCCAGCCACACGGGACGTTTCGTTCTCGATCTCGCGCTTCACGTCGGAGAAATCAGTGAAACGGCGGTTGGGAATATGATGGAATTCGGCCCATTCGGATCGCCGGGCAACATCGGGGGACCGGTACGGGTCTTGCAGAGGATCCGCAGCATTTTCGTCTTCGGGAACATTGATCAGTTGCAAGATCAAGGGTCGTCTGGTGACGATGCCACTTCCGCGCGGCAAGAAATCACGGCCGACGATGTTCTCCAGTACGGATGATTTCCCAGCGGACTGAGAGCCTACAACAACCTATTTGAGGAGAAGGCACGTAAGTGAGAGGTCTTGTCGTAAGTGGGTTCGAGGACAGAATGACGTACAATTTGTGGCAGATCGAGAGAGTCGCTCCCGATAGTGTTGAACACCAAGTCTTGCAACTTGTTGACGGTCGTGAGGAGGTCGTCTCCGAGGGACGCCATGGTGCTGGACCAAAAGTTGTGGGTGATATTCACTTGGGTCGAAGCGAGGCGAAATCGTCAATGTGCCTTTTGGGGGTTTTCCGTTCAAAAATGCAGTATACACAGCTTCTGGCGGACGAGGTCGAAGCTACCCTATGCAAGACCGAAGGCGTTGCAGAGCAAGACGGAGCTGCGAAGGAGCTGGGCGAGGCAGAGAAACCAGAGCACCGCACCGCACCGCACCGTACCAAAACACACAACGCAACGCAACGCAACGCAGACGAAGGGAGCAAGCGTCTTCTGGTCGAAGACTGAATGCGTCGATTGCCTCCGACTGTCGATGGGTCCCAGAAACAGAGAGCGAAGAAGAAGAAAAAAAAAGAAAAGGAAGCTCAGGGAGCAGCACGGTAACCCTTGGGACTGGATGAATCGGGGAGGACTCGTTCGATATGATAGAGCCGATGTTGCTCGCGTCGTCCAATTTCAAGAATTCATGCGCGGTCCACAAGCCGCCTTCTCAGAGAAAGTTGGTGCAAGGGCCGTAATGCTGGTGTTGGCTGGCTATGGATACCTTGGGGGCTTAGGGGTTAGAGGTCCACGCCCACTACACAGACTGCCCAGTCCACGGTACGTACCCTGCTCTGTTCAGGTAGCTCACGTTGAGGGTGAAGAATGACAGCATTTTCACTGGATGCGCAAGCGATGAGCCTCAGGTGCCTAGTGTCTTTGCTCCCTCTGGTTCCTGAGGTATCCATACATTTACTCGATGCTTAGCTCAGCTTTGTCCTCTGAGGGATCTGAGTTCTTGATCGGACGCCTCCAGGACCTGCAAACCCGGGCCACCCCGCGGGCTGGGGCTCACTGGATCTCACCTAGGTCAGCATCGGCAATGCAGATATTCCCGACCGAAGCACACAATGGATGGATGGAATGGAAGGAAGCCGATCGACCTGAGGTTCCAAGTGCGTACGATGTCATTACTTTGTAAAGGGTTCAACCCAATAGATTTCCTTACATGATGCCCAGTGTATCTTTTATGCAGACCTAGTGATCCCAGTTGTTTCGTGTAGGCAGTTGGTGTGGCGCGTTTTTGCGTCTGTCAAGTCAGGCTTAAAACGGCTCCAGTCCAAAGATCTTCCAGCATCTTCACAACCTCGGCAAGCAAAACAGCGATAACCAACAACTCGGTGCCCAAAAAAGAAGGAACACCAGAAGGAAGCAGAGACCATGAGCCAACTCGGTGGCCCTGGGGCCCGCCAGGCAAATGCCAAACCAATCCCGTGCGTGCAGACATCTGCGTTCTGGTTCCTTTTGCTTTCAGTTGATAACTCACTTGACTGACCGTGGATATTGTTCACAGTCCTCAGCGTGGCAGTTTCCCTCTGGACCACGATGGTAAGTCAAGTCAGACTGTGTCGCGGTCAATCACAATGCTCTCTAGCCGGGAACTCTTACGTTGCTATATGGTACTATCCTGACGCCCATCAGGTGAATGCAAGCATGTCATCTCAAACTACCTCGAGTGCATCAAGAAAGTCCGCGGCGTCAATGACGCTCAGTGTCGCGATCTTGCCAAGTCTTACCTGGCTTGTCGTATGGATAGGTAAGATATCGACATGGATTTGTCATGTCCATGAGGTCGTAAACAACCATGTTAACTGTGTCGGTCGCTCCGCAGGAATCTTATGGCCAAAGACGACTTCAAGAACCTAGGCTTCGGCAACGATCAAATGCCGGACAGCAAGGGCGGGCTGGCGCGGAAACAAGCGCCAGGAAAAGATAGCCAAGACAAAGACGGAGATGCGCGCCCCGGCGAGTTAAGGTGGTGACAAGCTGTCTTTCGCTGATTGCAATCTTCGTTGGGTAGTTGGACATAAGCACCCGACGCAGCAATACAGCTTCATATTTTGTATATTAGCGAAGGCATAAAATAAATCCTAAAGCCCAAACCAACCTGCGCAGTTGTGGCGGAACGTTGCGCACGCAGAACCAGGAAGCTTGCTTGGTATAATCATGGGCGAAGATTATTGGAAAGGGTGGTGTTCATGCGGGAATCCACAAGGAACATGAAGCCTCATGCATCATTGTTTTTTCCCCCTCCGCATGTTTACTTCTCGAATGAGTCATCTCGACCTGTCGCCCTAGGACAAAAACAGCTTCGAAAAGCTGTGGACCTGTAAGCAGCCCTTGCATTGTTGCCAGCGAACCAAGACTGTCTGGTTGTCGTGTCAGACTTGTGACGCTGGTAAACACACTTCCTGCAGGAACCTGGCGAGACGACGGGCTTGAACCGCCACCATTGCATGGCATTATTGGACAGGAGCACAGGGAATGTTCCAGCTACTCAACTCCAGAGAGCACTACTGCGTATTTGACCGCATATTCTATCTTCAAGCTACTGCGCAGTACGCATACGGGTGTCAATGTACACCTACCTTTACCCAGCGCTTTTAAGTCCAAGAACCTTGCTGTTCCCCGCGTGCTGAGGGAAGGTGACATTGTACAAGTACCAGGCCTGGGCCCCGGAATCGAAGGAAAGGGCGGTCGGCTTTGTCAAAGAAGCACGGTGAAGAACCCCTCCCTCACCTTCCCTAACACAGACAACTCCAATGTGCCTACCTCAGGTACCTCGAGAGCGTTTACTGCATGGTACACTAGGTAAGGTATGGTCCATGAACCCACAAACTCGGGAGTCATTGTTGCCGGGACAACCAACCAGCGCTGACCACATGGCCTAGATATATCTTCAACACCTCAGTTTCACGCTGGCAAAGGCAACGACGCCACCGGTTTCCCTTCACATGCCTAAGCCCATGCCTCACAGCTTTAGCCAGCATCTCTACCTTCATACAAAAGTCTCGCAGCAACACCAAACCCTTTTCATTGCGTGCCCTCCCCCGCACTGTCACTGGACACCTTCTTCCATCTCCGCACTCACAATCTGCCCGCCGGCTCAACATCTGTCTCTGTGTATGAGCATTTTCGGTGTCCGCCGTCCCTCAATTCCATCATGCACCGACGGAGAAGTGCGGAGCGGACGAGGAAAGTGACGCCTCCGTCTCCAACGTACATGAACAACGAGCAGTTCGGTGAGGAACAATTCTACGCAGTAGAGTTCCACTTCCCATCTATTGCTAACGTCCTGACTTTCTAGCTGCATACCTCGCCAATCTCAGAACGAACCGTGTCGCTCGCCCCGGTGGCGCGAGACCACAGCCTCCATCGTCGACGACCAGGTCCAAACGTCCCTCCCACGACCAGCCGAACACCTCTGAACCTCTTTCCCGTTCTGGAAGTCCTGCTGTGTCGATCCCCAGCTCTGTCGACATCTCCGCCCGACCCAGCCCTCCCCCGGCCAACGCCAGCTTTTCTTCCCGCTACTCCATGTCCAGCATCTCCGGCCGCGATTACTACCCTCCCCGTTCTGCGACACCTTTGAAGCCTTCCGAGGTTGTACCCACCGACACATATATGGAAAGGGGGCAAAGATGGATGGAAAAGGAAGAAGCAGTATCCCTTCGTCAGGCTATGGACGATATGCGCATCAAGGACGACAATGGCGACGGAGCCTGCGTTTCCAATGTCCAAGGTGATGCCACTAGTACCCAAGACGATGATACGAGAATCTACAATGCTGCTCTTGACGAGGCCTCAGAATTGGTCTGGCAGCATCGGAATGGGGTTGCCCCTCCCGATCCCAATGCACCATATCGATACAAGCCTCACTTGAGGAAGAACAGCTATGCCCACGCACGCACTGCTAGTGTGGGGAAATACGGCAATGAGATTGGGCCTTCTGGGCTGGCTAGAGACACTACACGGTCGTTTTCAGGCAGTTCCACTGACAGCGACGGACGTCCTTCTTTGTCACTGTCGCGTGATAGCTTTGGAAGAGAGGGGAAAAGCCCGGAACGCCCCTCCTTAGACTGTGAAATATCCGGTCCATCTGGTGCCATGTATTCCAACTCTGGGGTTGCGTCCGTCAGCCGCCGCCGCAGCAGCATGAAACGCAACATCAGCGGCGAGGTAGAAAAGCCGTTCTCAGGGGATCAGATCTGGGAGGAGCCTGAAGTCAACAACCGCCGAGGAGCACCCAAGCCCAAATCGGAGGCTGTGCCGGATCTTCCTCTCGTGGACAAGCCAAAGAACCCTCAAAGCCAGGTGCGCTTCGCGGCTGGGCCGCCAGCTGACCGTGTGGCGCCGTGGAAGCCCAGGTGCAAAGTTGAGATCCACCGCAACCCGCCTTCCCAATCGCGGAACCCACAGTACACGACCAATACGTCCTTCCCAAAGCCTGCAGCGGATGGAACCGTGCCGAAGAAGAACGGGATGGAGATCCGCAGCGACGATATCAGGGGAGCTACCAGCATGAAGCTGAAAGATCGCAGCGCGAAGCTGCCAACGCCCACGGCCGTCAGTGATCGACCTGGACGGCCGATTGTAAGCTTCGACTCGAACTGGAAAGCTCCGGACGAGAAAACTGATGCAAGGCCAGGATCGGCTTTCGGCACCTCCGACACAGGAGCTTCCAGCCAAAAGAACCAGCCGGTGGAAATTCCTTCTATCGTGGTGGCGCCGGAGGATTTCTCGACGGACGGGACACGCCATGTCCCGGCCGTGCCGTCAATAAGTATCGCCGGCGTTGACGAGCCGGCTGCAACGAACACAAGTATACCTGTTATTGTGACTCCCGACGACGGCAATGCAGCAGGAGCACCACGGCCCCTGCCCGACCCCAAAGCCGTCCCAGGTAGAGGACGACCTTTTCAACGCCCACAACGTCACTGGTCACCAGCACCCGGCGCTGGGCATCGCTCGACTACTCTATGCCACGAGTGTGGATTTTCTATCGAGGGTAGGTTCGTCTCCCTGGCCGGGCTGACAGAACGCTTTCATCCCCAATGTTTCAGCTGTTTTGCCTGCGGTACTGGTCTCGAAGCTCTAGAGATCAGCCCCGAGCCAGAGGCACATCGTCAGAACCGCTTGGACAGGATCAGGCGTCGGGAGAACGGCGAGGTGTTAGACGAGGCACCGGGCGAAACTGTGGCCGAAGACGGCGATGAACGACTGCGATTCTATTGCCATCTGGATTGGCATGAGCTTTTTGCGCCAAGATGCAAACACTGCAAAACGCCTATCCTCGGCGAGCACGTGGTCGCACTCGGTGAACATTGGCACTACGGCCATTTCTTCTGTGCCGAGTGCGGAGACCCCTTCGAAAAAGGCATGACACATATCGAGAAGGACGGATATGCTTGGTGCATCAACTGCCAGACCAAGCGAACAGAACGAAGGGCACCCAAGTGCAAGAAGTGCAGATGCGCCGTCATCGGGCAGTACATAAGGGCCCTAGGGGGTGAGTGGCATGACGAATGCTTCCGCTGCGCTGCGTGCAATGGAGGCTTTGATGATGGCCAAATCTTTCCGAAGGACGACGGAGAAAAGGCGATTGTGCTTTGCACGCAATGTCGCATGTTGGAACTCAAGGCGTAATGAATCACGACGGAACTTTCTCGACATGGACTTTGGGAGTTGAGGATTTAACGGTAGGGGTAGCGATGGAGTAAAGATTCGGCACCGTGTTTTTTTGTTTTAGGCATGCATGACTCTGGGCGAGGCGTTTTGTAAGCATCGATAAACACGAGGATGGAATGAACGTTTGCGTGAATGTCATAATCATCATGGACTGTCTTGATATGGACTCTGTGTACGTGCGAGCCAGACCATCCTTCTGCTGAACTCCATGCCCACTATTGAGAGTCCCCAGCCGCTTCGCAAAGGAAACCCGTTGCACTCCACCAATAGATACGCCATTACTCCTCGCGATCCACCATCTAGTTGGATCCACCGACCTGTTCCTGGTGAACTTCAAGAGTGTCGCCGTCTGCCATCTCAAGCTGTTAGGCAGCTTAATCAGCATCGATGCCTCGCTCAACTCGCAGTGTTTCTGATTGTACTGCTCAGCACTTACCGTGTCCGGAGTGTCCGTGGGTTGCACTCGCTGGCCCTCGAACAAGAAACGAACAGAGCTGATCGCCTTGCCCTGCCTCTCGCAAAAAGCAGTCATCAGCTTCTCCAGCTTGGTTGACCGCTTGATCTTGAAGAAGACTTCGTTGTTGTTGTCTGTGACCTTGATGTTCAGGTGCTCGACGGCGGGGGGGGCCTCTTGACCGCCAGCGGCGGGGGAGCCGTTCTCGTGTTCGCCAGACATGGTGTGTCTGTCAAGCGTAGTCGCGCAGAAGTTAGCCAGCTGGGTCTGAGGATCTGGGAGATGTCGTGAATGATCGCGGATTTTGCACATACGCTTGCGAAAGACGCGGATGAGACAATTGCGTACGTCGAGAGCTCACTGTCGAGGCCTGTGAAGTGTGTTTACCACAGTGTGGAAGGCCGGCGCTTGTGTCGTATGGAGGTCGTAGGAAACGTTGACGCGAAGCACGTTGAAGAAGGCAAGCACGTCTGAGCTATCGCCGAGTGAGAAAGAGGGATGTGGAGACGGACTATGCTAAGTAAGATAGGAAGGTACCTCAAGGTAAGGTATACAGGCAACGGAAGCGTAAAATACCTGCGGCACCTAGGTACTGCGTGAGTGGCAGGCAGGCAGGCACCTTGGGGAGAAGAAGGTGGGACGCAGGCCTCCTGATTGGACAGGCTGCCGGCAAGGTTTGTGAGGCTCCCCCGCGCTTGTGTTCCCCAGCGTGGTGCTGGAGCCTTGGAGGAAAGGTAAGCACACGCCTTAATCTACTACCAAAGCAGACAAGACAGATCCTAAGGTACGTAAGCACTACTTTCCATGAAGTAAGCCCTCCCGAGCTCAACAAAGGTTGGAAAAACCTGGAAATTTGGACGCAGGCTTGAGGGGTGCCGGTAGGAAATCAGGAAGTTGCGGCTCATGTTGGTTCATCATTTCCTTAGTCAGCAAGCAGATCGACACCGAGGCCGCGGCCAAATATGTCTTCTTGACGTCAGGTACCCGACTCCCATAGGATCAAATCGATCTTGTCGGCGCACAAATCGTCTTATCAAACTGTCTACAAGATTTTCAAGGCCTCGGCTATTCCACTGTACGCGCAAATTCGTGTCGCTCGTCAGAGGAGACCGCCATAATGGTGAGCGGACTTCCAGATCCTCACATTTTCCCTACTGACTGACCGTTCGTAGCAGGGCTTGGAAGAGGACTCAAAGGCAAACCCTCCATGTCATCCTCGAGCTGTGAGTCATTTTGATTATCCGCATTCGCCGGCACACATGTGGCATATGACTGACAACGTGCTCTTGATGGTGAAGTGCGCAATACAAGGTCAGACATAGCCCCAGTTGACTGAGCCGCTCACGCCGTGGCATGGTACGATGAGACTAATCCGGGCTTGGGAGACAGACTGTTTGGCCAAGAATGGATACAATGAAGACAAGTGCCAACCGGTCATTACGGCCTTGTATGAATGCTGCGAGGCGTTCTACCGCTCCAAAGGCGAAGGCGCGATTTCAGCTAGTTGTCCGAAGCCGCATTTGCTGCAGTTGAAGTTGGCAAGACTCCGGGAGACGTCACAATCGAAGCGTTGAGCGCGAAGCTCATTGAAGCGTGAGGAGATTGAGAGGTGCGGCATTGATAACAGTCAGGGCGAAAGGGGGGGATGTGCCGCTCTTCCTTCTATGCGTCAACCCGAGTTAAAGGTGAATTCTGGCAACATTATGAAAGATGGCAATTTGATCTAGGCGTTCATTAGCACGCAAGAGGACCCGTGGGACCTGAACAAGCATTGAATACTTGCTCCGAGACTCTAATATGAAGGCCTTGACATTGATGAAAAAGAGAGAAAAATCAAACACCAGACCCCGACGTTAGAAATTCAAATAAAGGTGTGCTGAGCGGGTCCGTACAGTGCGTCTCGCTGGCGTTCGGTCATGATTCAATGCATCCTCGAGGGCTCCCTGCACTGTGTTGACACTGACCGCTCCCAAGGTATCTCGGGAATATTGCCTCTAAAGTAAGGCATGCAGCGTCTGCCTCTCAAGTAGCGTTCACTGCTTCCACAAACGCGACCACGTCGTGCACAGACCAGCGCAGAATCCATCCTCAACCCATCGCGCTAGCCAACCGTCGCTGTCGCCTACCGAAGGCAGGTCCATGCCTACTGGTTGTTTTTAGAGGTCTACAAGTCCGCGTTTGTTCAGCCACGATATTCCGGATGGTCCAGCATCTCACCACGCCAATTTTCCAGCAACGGGAAGAGCTACCGAGTTCTCTAAAGAGTGACACCCAGTCATTGGGGTAGGCCACAGCAGCACAATTTGCGCTTGAGCGGAGTAAAGAAGACCGATTGCTTTCGCCAAATTTTCCAGCTTTGGGAGCTCGGTCAAACCCAAACATTCAGCTGCGCCGACCCGACATCTTGGCCTGTACGAAGCGATACCGAAAGGCAGTATCTATTCGCAGGAGGTGTGTAGCTGTGACTCTGCGCGCGCTGGGTTGCATCTCCAGCTTTGATTTCCCATCCCCTCTCTCAACCTTGTTCTGTAGCTAATTATTTGATATTACAGGATTGCAGCGGAAGCCGATCATCCAATGTGCCGCCCACCACGCGAAGAACCGTCCGCATAATTTTTACGACGAGTTTCTACGAGTCACACCTACGTTGAGTTTGCGGAAATACCACGAGTCCATCACGTCTTACCAATCGACCATGGATATGCAGATCGGACCCGAGTTTGAGGTCTTCGCAAATGCGCTCGATGATTGTCTTTCACCTCATGGATCAGTCGAGGCCAAGCGCGAGCGGATATTCGGGCTTGTAAACGCCTACTATGACTTCACGGGTGAGAAGTTGGCGCACCTGCGCAACCAGGCGCGTCAAGGCTCGGTTGGCGACACCGAGATGGATCTCGACGAGGATGAAGAATCCGAACCGACGCCAAGCTTAGAGGATATCCGGGCTTGGGAGCAAGAGAGGCAAACCTGGGATCTCCTTCGCCGTCTGATACCTTTGAGATATCCCTCGAATAGCTCGAACAGCAAGCAGGCATTTGGCATCATGCAGAGGACTCAGCAACCCGATGATCTGTGGAGCGAATTCTTGCTCGACGACCCACTGGCGATCGAGAGGAAAACCGTGTTGGAATGGCTGCAACAAGGCGCAAGAAACGGGCCTGACATTGATGACCTGGTTCGGGAGCTGCAGCAGAATGCTGACAGAGGCGACATTATTGCCCATGGATGGATTCACACGAGATCTGCGATCAAATTGCAAAAGGGCGTCAGGGGATCTACCCGTCCCCTGGACGTCGAGTTTCCCGAAGTTGCGCGCACACTGCTCAACTCTGACAACGCTCCACTCGTCGCCGAGCTTGATCCTGATGCCGTGACGAGACAGGAACGAAAGCTGGAGCCGCAGGACGAATTTTTCGAGCGAGCGATATGGGTTGGCTGCTTCCAGCTGCTTCGGAGGGGCAGCAGTCTTCAGGCCATGAGAGAATGGTGTTTGGAGAGAACCGAGGTTTGGAGGGCAGTTTCAATGTCCCCGCTGCCTCTTGCGACTGAGCACGGTGAGTCAAAGTTCGTGGATGACCCATCCGCTCTCGCCCTCTGGAGACGCATGTGCTTTGCTCTTGCTCGTCAAGGTGGTTCTGATGACATCGAGAGAGCCGTCTACGGAGTGCTATCAGGAGACATCCCCAGCGTACAGAAAGTATGCAAAACGTGGGACGATTTCCTGTTCATGCACTATAACGCCCTCCTCCGCACCCAGTTCGATATATTCGTACTGAGTCGTTGTCCGCCGGAAGTATCAGCTTCCCTTCGTTCGTCGTTCGCCGCGTTCGACGCCATTCAGTTTCACGGTGACGTAACGACGCTGGAACAGCGTCTGGTAAAATCCTTGGAAACCAGCCCTCATACGAGCAAAGAAGCCTTCGAGCCGGCCAAGGCTCTTCAAGCTGCCATCATCTCGAGAGACCTCGAGCAATATTTCTTCGAGCAAGGCATTGCTGTCACCCAAAAGGCCAATTCGGAAGAGCCATCGGTTTTAATGCCCGATGACAACTGTCGCAACATCCGTGTGGCTCAGGAGAAGTTTGCCGATATCCGTACCCCCGATCGCCTGCGGCTGGCTGTGCATGCCCTCATCATTTTCTCGACCCTAGACTCCCTAGGAACACCGTCGGCTTCCGCCACATTCAGCGCCGACTATGACCGCCGCGAGCTGCAGGAAAATACGATCACAGCTTATGTCAGCTTGCTGCGATTAGCGGGTTTCGACGAGCTGATCCCTCTCTACTGCTCCAGGATTGCTGAACCCAGGTCATTCCACGTCTTGAGCACGAACATATTGCCAATCACTGACCACGATTCTCGTCTCGTTCAGCTCAGTCTGATCCGGAAAGCGGGGCTAGATGTACTCAAGTTTGTCAGAATGCAGCCAGAACTCTTATTCAAGAACTTGGAGGACGAGACCTCGGATGGTAATCTGGACAAAGGTCAATTTCGTATCATGGAGAACGAACCGGCATCTCTGAAATATGGACGCTCTATCAAAGCGGACTTTTTTGGGGAAGATCCGGAGTCTATTGACCCATCCGACGATCGCCTCATTCGCTCCGTTGAATGGCTCTTGCTTGTTGAGGAAGCCTGGCCGGACGTCTTCGTGGTCGGCGTGTCGGTCTACAAGTATTTCCTCAGTACGTGTTTCAAGCCTTGAAAATGCATAGATTGACTAACCGGGCCAGAACATATGCGTCTAAATGCCGCAAGGAGCTTTGCGAACCGCGTGCCATTCAGTGTCATCATGCGACAGAAGATCGATACCTCCGACCGGGATGAGATCGATGCCTTGTCCGAGGATGTAGAGTTCTGGACTAGCCATATCGGATCGGCGGATGCAGCCCGATTGTCGGCGGGCCAGCTTGCCTCAAACGCACGAACTTTACGCGACCTCGAATGTCTTGTCAAGGCTTTGGACACGATGGAAACTATCGCATCGCTTGCGGAGCTTTCTAAAGAGTATGGTTTCCTACCCACGTATTGTCTCGCATCACTCACAATTCCCAGGGACCCGTCTGTAAAGAGAGATTTCTGGGCCAAGGTAAGCAACGAAGTCAAATCCGCAAAGGATCACGTGCAGCCACTGCTGAAGAACTGGCTTTTGGGCCAGGGTAAGTTGACAAAGCCTAACTTCCTTGCTGGCCACGTAAGCTTATTTGGTTTTCAGACGACCC